CTGGCTGCAGGCTACAAAAAGCAGCATAATGCATTTGAAGGAGACGCTCATTCACTCCGTTGCACCTACAGCCCTGTAGGACGGTAGATGCGGCTAAGAGAGCAACGAAAGGTTGAAGTACTTCGCTGTCTGACTTTATGGGTGTGACACAGGCCAGTCTGCTGTGGACCTCGCTCTGTAGATGGCTAGTACCTTAGAGTGAGGAAGGCAATCCAGGTAGGACTAACCCGAAAGCTCCTCATAAATTTTTAACCTCACCACGTGCTTATGCTGAGTTTCTGTATAGATGACTGTCACTTACTGACTACCTATTGCCACGTGATAGCAGCTCCAGGGAAACATTTACGTAGATTCAGGAAGAGCAAAACAACCTTTAACCAAGCACTAGAAATCGAATATATCCATTCATGTATAGTCACAATACAATAACTATCATTGTTGCCGTCGTGCAGGATTATATTAACATGGAAAAACCGGCCAAAGATCGCAGTCAGGCACTGGGGCTGGAATCCACATAGTTTTTTCCTGGAGTGAAATTCTGCCCACAGAATGTTTTGCATTAGCTTCTGTTGGCAACCTGCAGCCCCCCCCCCCTCCCCCCTCGCAGGTCACGTTATTTAATTGATCACACCTCACACTGACCATCTCAGAACAGGTCTTCCTGACCACAGTCATCATTCTTCTTTGCAGCATAACCAAGGTGTGGAAACACAAGAACAAATATGACATCAGCAAGCCAAACGTGGGAGGGAGATTACAAAGTCCACTGTGTTGCAATATTTTCCCCACTCTGTGTCATTCAGCATTCTCCAAAAAATAAACGGGCTGCTCTACAGTCTGCTGTAGTATTTATTTATTTATTTATTTATTTTAATTATTTGGACACTACGCTTGTGATTTCAATTAAACAAATAGCTGTAAGCAGAAAGCCCCTTTTTTTCCACTGGCCTCCTCAAATATGGCCACAAGGGGGAGTGCCAAAGTCTGATACAGCATTGACATGGGTCTGAATTATCTGCTTCGGCTCATCCCAGCTGCTTCACTACAAGCCAGTAATGTGAAAACAGGTCCAGAGTAACTTGTGGAAGTTTTATTTTGGGCTCTTTGCCAATGGACCAATGAAAAATTCAGCAGTGAACGGAAACTGGCTGAAAGCACACAGAGACCCTCCTGTCAGGGCATGAAACCCCTGAATGCTAAACGGCCTCCGCTGGCTGCAGTGGGGAAAGCACGGTGTCTGCGGCCCCTCTCAGCACGCGTATTAATCCAGAGATGGGGTGTCACAGCTGGGGGGGGGGGGGGGATTGCGGGAACTCTTGAAGGACCAAGCAGGAGGAATGGAGACTCACGGCCCCAGGACGGCAAACTGGAAGAGCTTGGACTATGCATTTCCATATCGGAAAACAGGGGGATCAAGAGAAGGATCAGGTCTGGGTACTGCTTTGGCACTAACTGAAAATGAGACCATCCCTGCTGCTGGTTGTCATGGAGATAGGACCTGGCCCACCGGCACATGGACAAAGGACTCTCCAGCAGTCTGGCAACCCCCTTGTGTGGGCGTGAGAACCTGAGGAGGGGGGCCATTGAGGCTGAGCCTCCTGTGACCATGTCACATGGCTTCAGACCCCCCTCCGCCGTGAGACACGGCTTCCCTCATTCCAGATGCAAAGCCTGCTCGTTGAATCCTTGGGGCAGTGCAGAGCTGCCCAGGCATCTCCAGGCACCCGAAACATCAAGAAAATCTCCCTTGGTAACCGGTAGCTGCTGATCCCTGACAGACTGGGCCATTGATCGACCTGCTTAACCTGGCAACACCTGATGAGTCGATGAAGTTTATCACAAGCTGAAGAAACACAATTTATGGCACGGATGTTCATTTCCCACGTGGGGTGGAATACGTCATGCCCCCCCCACACACACACACACACACACGCATTCATACTTGCGTTCATCTGACAAATGAGGTCAAGCTGCAGTCTCATTCAAACAGCTCCCGTCCTTGTTGATATCCTTGCCTTTTCCTTCGCCTCTGGGCCCAGGCACCAGTATGTGAAACAAGATACCCCCACCTTCTGCTGGTCAATTCCCCCCAAGCAGTGCCGGTCCTGGCTAATAACCACGTGAATTTACATGTCGCATGCTTTGCAGGCAGGTAGAATTTGTGGTCGGAGGTAAAACACATGGAATCCCTCATCCAAGAGAGCCAAGGAATGTTTTGCATTCCATGCTACACAGAGGGCAAAGTCTTCTGCTGAAGATATATGTGTGCTGACCTGGGGGCAGTTATTATGCACACGGGGAGCAAGGGCACTAGATGGGCTTCCTGCCAGATACCTGACGCACCTCCACCCTTTCTGACCGAAGCTCGCTGGTAGGCATGAGAGAGAGAGAGAGAGAGAGAGAGAGAGAGAAACCACAGAGTGTGTATTTAGAATAGACATGCTTCTCTGCCTAGGAAACCCTGATCAACAGTGAACCAGTGGGCTTTGACCACATGGGCGCGGAAAACCCACTCTAAATTTAGCCCAGTGCAGGCGTATAATCAAAAACACAACGAAGCAGGATGATGCCCCGAAGCTCAGCACTGCCTCAACGACCAATGGCCAACACTCTTCGCCATGAAGCGTTATCATTTTCAACAGTCTTATCCAATAGCATTCGCATCCATTGTATTCTTACAATTTGCATTTCAGAGAAGTCATTCTGATCGGACTGCTTTTGAGGGCTGCATTTAAGACTGATGGAACAAAGCCTTTTCTGCAAGGAAGAGCAGTTGTGGGTGACGATTTACAGTAATGGAGTTACTTTAGCTCACAGTAATTACACATATCATGCAACAAATGCTCCTACTGTGGAGGGTAAGACATCAAGTGGAAAGCAGCAGCATTGGGTGTTTTTTTATAGGCATGACGCAAGTGGCTGCTGTCAACTCCTGGGTGAATTGCACAGCTTACTGGGGGGCAGAAGCAATAGAGTCAGAAAACCAGTTAAACATTGATAATTCTGTTTGACGTTAACCGGGAATCTTCCTCCTCATTAGGGAGGTTGTTCAAGGTTCTTGTGGGCATGTGGGTGTGTGATCACAGGAAAAGAAGCCCGTATGAGAATGTACATGTGTCCCTTGACTGAGGACGGAGTGTCTCCTGCAGTCATTCATAAATCTGCTATATATCTAGTTTCTGGGTCACTGAGAATGTGAGGGGCTCAGAAACAGGATAATACAATTCTGCACCATGGAAACCAAGGTGAAGCTTTAACCTAACAAACCCCCATACTATTCATATCCATGTGATGAGTCCTGAGTGACAGAAGGCCTTGAATGCCCATTGGCTATGAAGCTAGAGAGAAGCAGCCAATGGTCTCTCATGACCATCAACCAGACATGTGTCCCCTTTTGGAAATGAAAGGCTTAGCGCACTGCTCGTGATTCCATGCGTTCTTTATTCCTTTGTCACCACTATCACAAGACTTGTAGAATGCAAACACAGATCAATCTCAGTCTTACAGTACACTTAAGGCTTTTGATTTAATACAGTCAACACTAGTATTCATTGTACCAATGAAGTATTTTTCATTATTTATGCATACTCCAGTTCCAGTGTTAAAATCAAGTAAGCTAAATACCCTATAATAACATCTTAAGATATTCATAGATATGTTCACTTTAAAAATTAGCTTTTAACAAGACTTTATTAAGATACAATGAAAAAATAAAAAAAATTCAGTATCAAAAGAATGAGGGGACTTAACATCCAAAACAAAAACCCGTTTTGTTTTACTTCTTAAAAATAAAAAGGTTAAAAACAGAGGGTAGAAGCTACAGATGCCAGTTAGGTGGAGCGCGTTCCATCAAAAATAAAAATGAGAGAAGAATGAGACCTACAGTTACCAAGTCCTGTTGATGGAAGGTGAAGCTGGAGTCGCCTGCGAACAAAGACAATATGAACGGCTGAAATGTTTCATTTCAGGGCAGCAGGTGCAGAGGTGCTCGAGAAACTGCATCTGTGACCGAAGGGTTGCAGGGTCAAGTCTGAGGATTAGCACCTGCAGTTGTACTCTACAACTTAAAGGTACCTAACCTGAATGTCATCAGCAGAATATCCAGCTGCTTAGAATGGACTCTTTAAAAATAAAAATCACAGGTCTCCACGCGGCTCGGCGATATGTAGCTCGAGCGTTCAGCAGCAATTCATGACGCAAAGCAGCCCTGCGGAGCTTGGGGACGTGGTCCCAGCGTCTCCCAATTCAGCTGCGGCCAGATCACTTGTCAAGCGATCATATTGGAGGTCGTGCTGAGCAAATTCAAAAAGGGGGGGGGGGGGGGGGGGGGGGGGGGGTAGCTGGCCCAAACAGGAACCCTGAGTATGCGAGCCTGAATGCCACCAGCCCAGCAGGTCAAAGTGGAAGTTTATGGTAATGGCCTCTGAAACCATATTATGAAAGACTCTTATTGTCATTATGAAAACATGCAATGAAATTCTGTCTGGCAACTCATGTAGAAAAGCAGAAACCTAAGAGAACACACTACACAGCAGAGATAATGATCAAGCAGTCACAGTGGTTGGGAACATATAAATAAAATGAATAACAGTGAGTAGAATAAGTATTCATTTTAATTCACTCAATTACTATTATGACAAATAGGCAGCATGACAACTACTACAACCTGTCAGTATTATTTCTAAGTAAACCATAGTGGCACTTCATTGCATTATTTGAGAAAATTCAGTGTGGAGATTTCTGTCTTTCAAAACATGCAAGCTTGATATTTTGGATATTGTATGAGGGCTTCCATTCACATGTGTGTGGAGTTTGCATGTTCCCCCCGTGTCATCATGGGGTTTCCTCCGGGCACTCCGGTTTCCCCCTACAGTCCAAAGACATGCTGAGGCTAATTGGAGTTACTCAATTGCCCGTACAGTAGGTGTGCTTGTGTGAGTGAATGGTGTGTGAGTGTGCCCTGTGATGGGCTGGCCCCCTGTCCAGGGTTGTTCCCTGCCTCATGCCCATTGCTTCCGGGATAGGCTCTGGACCCCCCGCGACCCATTAGGAGGACGGGTTGGAAAATGGATGGATGGATGGATGGATGGGCTTCCATTCAAATGAAGTGCACAAGGGTAGAAAAGAAATTGATGGGACAGCTTCTAACCAGTGTGTCTTTGTGGTTCTCTCTAATGACAAGATTTCAAATACTGCAGATCCACAGTGCTTGCTACTACAGCTAACGGAACACGGTGTAACCCCTGGCCTGCAAGCAAGGAGCATTCATGAGGAAAGGCGATCACAAAGAACGCGCTTTGACAAAACCGGCGTACTGAAAACCAGGTAAAGTGAGAAACTCAGCTGTGACATTCCAGGTCAGCTGCAGAGCGAGTTCCGGAAAAACACCAAAGGGCACAAAGGAAGGCTGTCATTCTCCCATCGTCACAGAGAAGGCGACATGGAACAAGGTACAGAGTCACAGGAAACCAGCAAAGCCACAACATTCAGAGCCATTGCAGGAATACTACCTGAACAGAAACTCCTTCGTTCATCAAGTATAGTTTAACAGTCAACTGAGAGTAAAATAGTCAAAATTCCATAAGGTCTGAATAGCTGCAGCACTGATGACAGGATACCCAACAGGACAGTAGTCCAGTGCCCATGAGTAAGGTTGGGCAATTAATTGAATATTAAAACAGAAATTCAGAACCTCTAATTGACGTAATCTTGCCCATGTCAGTTACTTTGTTTTTTTTTTTCCTGTTCATACTTTCCCCAGTGTGTTCATGTGCTGTCCCCTTAAAAACATACTACCACGCCTGCTGTCACATGACTCCGCCCCATCCAGTCTGCGACATAGAAGCAGCATGGAGGAGAACTCAAACACCGAGCCCACTGAGCAACTCCAGCAGCTTGTGCCAAAGAAAAACGCCATGTCCGTCGTTTGGACACAACGTCGTTTTATATATAATAAAGTATCAATTATGATTATTATTATATTATTATTATTATTATTATTATTATACGGAAAAATTTTAAACTATGTGGTAATTCTACCTGAGGCTAATGCTGCACGCACAGAAAACATGACGAGCAAAAGAAAGTCATTTTCTCTCAATTACAAATATACTCAAAGTTGATAAACTGCCAAAAAAAGAGCCACTGTGAAACTACAATAAGATATTTTATGTACAGTACTGCACTGTATATTGTATTTGAATTATACACAGTTCAGAAATTGAACATGTACGGCACTAATTTGAAAATTTATATTTTGAAATCGTCAAAAAATTAACCAGTGACGCTCATCGTCTTATTACCTTATATTCATGCAATAAATATACAAATGTCAATTAGATTGTAATCTGCCTGAGACAGAGGGGGAAGAAATTTTTTTATTTTTTTTTTTAAATCGGTTAATGATCATCCGCTTATAACGATCAATTTCACCCAGACAGATGTGATCACTATAAAGTTTATTTTGTTTGCAAGAAATGCAAACCATTTTCTACTTTAGGGACCTAAAATGTGACCTTCTTTACAAGACATTTTCAATTCAAGCGATTAGTGCTTTGATTTCAGTTGTTTGAAATATTCAATGAATAACCATAAATGGTTCATTCGTGTCATAAAGATATAGTCTTCCATTAGAGAAAATATCCCAGCTTTAATAGTTGAGCATATTTACAGTACAAATCTTAATGACGTGAGGGCAAAAACCAAGCAAAAAAAAGCCCCACAATAATCGTCCAATAATCATAATCGAGATAAAATGTTCAATTAATCGTGATATTAATTTGAGGTCATATCACACAGCTCTACTAGTGAGTGGAACTTCAAACCCAGGTCCATCGAAGCAACTACCGCTGAGCTCATCAAAAAAGGCATGTGACTGACATGACAAGTGCAGAGATGTGAAAGCATGACATAAGAAACTCCAGATAAAAGGAAATGAATCCCAACTAGCTGTGAGCAGCCAGGGGACACTGAGGCGTACATACAGGCTGAAGGTGGACTCAGGCTCCCTGAAAGACACGGTGATGCATCTTATAACAAGGAAGCTTGGCTGTGCGGCAGACAGACTTCTTGTCACTTTGCGCTATGTTAGGACGCTATTTAAAAAAGAGCCAGTCTCCTGGGTATCAGTATCATTTGGGGGGCTCTACCCCCAGCCCTCCTCAATGCCTCCTGCACGCACCTCCTTTGCAGACTAAGCTGCGCGACACAGCAGTACCTGCCCTTCCAAAACAATGCCGAAGACCTTCGAAAATAAGCTCCCAACTATGAACTCCAGTCGCTTTCTTTACAGATAGACTTTACTGGATCTTCTAACCAATATTTGCAACATACATAGCTGTACATCAGGCTTATTTACATCCCACGCTTATTTAAATATAAGGTACACCAGCCTTTTGAGAAGCTCAGATGTGTCCACACAGTTAAAAAGTCAGACATCTGAAAATTAATAGGGATCAAAAGCTGATTTAATTATTTTGTTTGAGGGCATAAATAAAATGACTTCATCTTAATTACGACTCATACTAATCTTCAGTTACCTAACCTGTCTATAGCTGGAAGCAGTTTTAATTAAAACAAGATACAGGGACTTTCCAGGACAGGGTGGCACCCACATATTTAGAATTCTGACACGCGCTCACTGACACTGGCATTGTTTCCGGCACAGACGAGCCCTGGTGCCACGGGGCATTCTCTCATAGCTCCTCAGACGAGGAGGTGGAGCTGACTCCCAGACTACTGGATACAGCAATCAGAGTTACTGTACTTCCTCCAAACAAACCCAGCAGAGTCACCAAGAAACAAGACACTCTGCTCGTTGCAGGCCAGACACCTGCTGTCTCTCTGGCTCTCCCCTTGCCCTTTCATGAGAGGGAAGGCAGTTTAAACGTCTCGCCAGAACCCACAGGAGGAGGAGGGAGCAGAGCTCGCTTCTGACCAGAGCTCATATTCAGAACCACGGCGACACATTCAGACTGGAGGTCTGCGCCAGCCAAACGCTCCGTGCCCGATGGGAGCCGTTATGGGCCGGACCCCATCTGCCAGGGGTGTGAAGCCAAAACGACAGCGAGGGTAAAGGCACAGAGTCGCTTCTCACGAGATGAGGGTAATATCAACCGGGCGACCTCCTCCCTTAAAGCTACAGGATACATATCAGTTGGTTAAAATGGAAAATTAGGGTGCAGTAATGCAGAAAGATACACCCTGTTAAAAACCTGCCATTGGTGGTCAGGTTAGTTTGATGCCGCCAAGTGAATATTGTGGATAAAAGTCAAGCTCAGGGTCAGGATACATCATGAGACGACTGCAAATAGGGCCGTAGTGGGAATGCAGGGCCAAGAATGCTGGGTAACAGGAAGCGGCAGCTAAATACCATTAGGGTAAATTATCTAATTGACAGATACAGTAAACATCTACAGTATTCAGCAGCTGCCGGGGCTTATCTAGGATTTTCTCTCAATGAGGCCTTCCCATTACATTTCCTGGCCTTCTATATTTGGTGTTAGAGAGAAATCTACTGCATCTGTCACCAGAGATCACCACGATATAAAACAACCACATCTCCTACCACTACTTACTATAAGCATTTAGCATGCGACCATGAAACTGTACATGTGAGCAGGAACAAGGAAGCAGGAGATACTTAAAGACATGTAAGGAAGTACCACGATTTTAGCTTAGTCACACGGGGAGAACGGGCATGCTGGCCAATGATACGGTGACTGCGGGGGGCAGAGGGACACGGCGGAGGGAAAATCTGAGGGAAAAGTACATTTCTTTCATTTTGCAGAAGCAGGAAACTGTTCTACGAGGCTTATTTGGCCTTCGGCATAAGGACACGGCAGTAATGGGGAAAGAAAGAACGGACGAATCCTCGCATTAAATACTTCAATACAGTGCCACTCAAAAGAAAATGGCCTCTCAAAATGTAATGAACAATTCACATGAAAGGCAGACCAGACTGTTTGGTGAAGGCTTTGCAGTTACATTCACATTAGCTCATTTGTCACAGTAAATCCTAAATCCCAGGAGTCCATGGGGCTCTGGCATGTGTGTGTGTGCGTGTGTGCGTGCGTGCGGCTAAATGTTTAATTTTAAGTGAATGCGAGATGTCACACTTATTAAAAACATTGCATTCAAAATGAAATGGAAATTTAGGGTTTCCTTCCCTGTTTGCAAACATACAACTAACTATTCAGTATAGATATTTTCATTATTGCAAACAGAAGTCTCAAAATAAAGACAAAAATTTAATTAAGCCTAGGCCTACATCCATGTTGCAGGGGTTCAGTAAAGCAGCCTTGACATTCTTCTTAAAACAGAAGGTGAATGTTTAGGAAAAATCTTAAATGTAAAATCTATATTTTAAAGTATGCTTACCTGGAAACAAAGTCATCACACATAAAATAAAACAAATATTGCATGTTACAATATTTTTAACCTATGTGCCTTTTGTCAGTGTTTTGAAACGAAATGATTTCAGTTGTGGATTCTGAGAGTCTGTGGAACGTCACGACGGAAGCTCTAGCATTGTTTATAATCAGGAAGGAATACTATTGCTACTAAAAATCTTTGAGCCCTAATTTTAACATACAAAAGTATTTTGATATAAAGGCTATTGCATTGTCCTATATTTCATTTTGAAAGTATATCAATATATGTAAAAATTCCATGTACAGCCCAGCCCTAGATGACATCAGGTGCATGATAAGGATGGTAGAGGTTACGTGGAAATGTAGGAACACAGAGAGAATTCAAATGAACAGACTGCACCAATACAAAGCATCAGACTCAAGGCCATAGACACTGGCAAAACTGAATAGGAAAAAAACAAATCACTCTCTGGTCTTTACAGCCCTAACAAAGAATTTGAAATAGCTTACTCGTGCAATTCAAGGCTTAACTATCAGACACTTACAATCCTGCAGGGGCAGTCGCCGCGATCACAGCACCGACGGCTCAGCAGATATCGTACCATCCTCTATATGCATGCAAGGCCTGAACAGCACCACCAAGTGTGGGCAGCGGCTCCCCTTGGTGATACCTCTGAACAAAGCTTGATCAATGGAAACTCGTAGGAGGAGTTTGACACTTTGAAGACGCTTCCAGTGCTCAGCTGGCACTCTCCAGGAATGTTAAGACTTCTGGATTAGAATTTGGGATCATAGCCCATCCAGCCGCACACGTTGGCGCCCCGCATGGGCTATTAGTGTCTAATTAATTCAAATGCTTTGGCCCAGTTGGTTGCAGGTGATGACTGATCATTTCAAGGCTTCCCAGTGCCTCTGACAAAGGAATGGTTCACTTGGCAAGATACTGGATTTACCCTGGTTGCAGAAACAATAAAAAACTAGAGGAAAACATTTCCAATTCATGGATGGGTTTTCAACAAGAAAAAAAAAACATCAAGGGCCAGCTGTTATTGCAACAGGTCACAATTACAATTACAGTACTTCGCTGTTTAAGTCACAAACATCCCTAAAATAGCACACAAGGGCAGGAGATGTTAATACCCAGCAGCACAGGAATTCTGCTACCATAAGCTATCAGAACAGCAAACGCCATGAAGTTAAAAAGGGGGCTGTGGCACCCTATCATCCTAAGCAGGCCTGGATGATACACGAGAAAATGACGTGGTTAACGACTCATCTGAAAAAGAACAGTATAGTAATAGCACAGTAATACAGCTCTAGAAACCAAATCAAAGAGCAGAGAGACAGATAAAAAGCACATATTGCAACCCATTACTGTAACATATTAGGAGTTCATAAACATTATCTGACATTGATTTGGAACTACACACACTCTTCTGGGACAGGTACAGCATTAAGGGACTGGGGAGGGGCACCTATGGAATAATGCAGACCCGATGCACCCAGGCTGCAGGCACCACGCTGGGGCCCCTGCCAGCGGGGACAGGGCGTCGTGTCCGGACAGACGCTGCAGTCCGCACAGTCATTTTCCAGGACATACCGGGGTCTCATGAGAGAAACCCGACATGGCTGTTAGTGAATACTGACGGATTATCCGAACCTGCTTCGGGGCGGGTTAACGTGATCAAGGATCATGTCCTCCACACCAGAGGTACTACAACACCGACTTAAATCGTTTCACGGGTGAAGACGTTGGATCTGGACGAGTGAATTTCACTGGATGACCACGGGAAGTGTTTAACAAAGGAGGACGCAGCCCAACATAGAAAATGTCACCAATCGGAGCTTCGCGTCTGCGGGTTACCACCGGTTAGAGAGACCAAAGGAATATAAATGATCTGAGGCACTTACTTCGTCCTCAGGACCTGCCAGGCGGCCTCAATGTCGGCATACAGGTTCTTTTCGGAGGGCTTCCCACTGCTAACGCCGTACCCAGAGTAATCGTACGAAAAGATATTGCAGTTGATCCGCGACCCTAGACCGATGTAGAAACCGCACATCTGGCCGAGGTCCACAGCGTTGCCGTGGGAAAACAGCAGGGTGTAGCGGCTGTTGGGGGCGCAGCGCACGAACATGCAGCCCACACGGTTACCCCGACTCGTCCTGGTATCGAACACCTCGACGGCGTCCAGTTCTCGCTGGGAGTACTGCCAGTCCGCCCGCTCCGTTAAATGGAGGGTGGTGGTGCCGTTGGCGTCCGTCTGTACTGAGTACGTGGGCTCCGGTGGCAGAAAGGCGAGTTTCGCCGCGATGCGGCTCGGGCACGGGGGGCAGCAGAAGAGCCAGCACAGTTCGCCGATGGAGAAACCATTCATCCTAGGGCCTTGATCAGGCATCGAATCACGGTCTACCTTAATCGGTCGATATATTCCCGGTACTCAAGAGCAGCAAACCGGTGTAAAACACGACCTGGTAAAACGGCTAGATCAGGCGACTGCTATAAAATGCTGGCTCGTCGGCTGCGCCTTTGTCTGCTTTTTATCGCGTTTCTGTATCGAATAGTCGCCTATCTGATGTCATGTACGGCCCCTATTTCCAAGCGTAAATGTGCCGCGAAACGCAGGCGACATCACATCCTAATGTGCCGACTAAGTGCTGGAGCCCTGGAGCCCGACTTCCGGGTTAGAGGCGCGGATATCCTGTTCACGCGCCGCCGCGCGGCGGGATGCTGCTCTCCTCGGGACTCGGGAATGACCTTTCCCGGGCGTTACGTCGTGTCGCGTAGCAACCGGCTCCAGTCATTCGCGCGCACATCTTGGCAGGCAGTAGTTTAGCTGCAGGCGCAGGAAAATACCTGGTTTGGCGAGTTTAAGTTCGTCATTGCTGGTAAATTAAAGGTGGATAGCTAAAAGATAACGATCTTTACCTTACGTATGATGCAACTACATGTTGGCGGTATAGCTTTGAAATCATTGTATCTGACCAGGGTTACATACAGTCGACGTTAACAGTGTATATCTAGATCATCAGTAAGAAAAGTGAAAACCGATTAGCAAACAAAGAGAGGATGTTTTTAGGTTTTGGTTTTACTCGGATAACAATGCATATTTTACTTAAATATTCGTAAATACTGATATAACTGTTCAATTCGTACCCATTTTCTAATTGCTTATCCTGCTCAGAAAAATATAAATTAAACGTTACATTGCTAACCCATAGGTAGCTAGCTAGCTAATGCCACTTAAAATTAATAAATAGTTTTACATGGCCGCCCGCCTCAATTTTTTGGTGCCGCCTCGATTTTTTTTATATTTTATATTTTTCAAAAAATCCGTTTTTTTCACCTCAAAAACTGTCAGAGATCGTCAATGTGCCAAATCCTGATATCCTGTGCACTGTGAGCAAGTAGTCTCTTGTAGGGTGGTCCAATAATAGTGACCCTCATTGATGTCGATGTTGTTTTGCTATTGTCAGGAGGACGCTTTTATTGGGCCATTCTGTGGCAAGACCATTAAACACTTAGACTAGGCATTTGTTTTGAAAGTTTCTCTTTTGTAATTGTTTGAACTGTTGAGAGTTTAAAATGTTGAGATACTGACAAATTAAAGTTTAATTTTCTAGTTTTAGTATATCTCTGTTGCCGATCGTCTTTTCGCTAAAAATATAAAATATAAAATCCCCTACTCACCAATATTTTAGAAGTTTGAGTCATGTAAAACAATTTATTAATTTTAAGTGGCCTAAAGTAAACAAACGTAGTGTGGCCACATATAATTATTGTACTGACACGAACATTTTTTAAATGACACGTATTTAAGTACATAACACAAGCGCGTCTACCTTATTTCGAAAGGACCAACCCTGTTTCATTGTTTTAACTACGTTTAAACTGACAACTAATACATATTGAGAATCCTAAGGGACAAATGTGTACATCTGTAAATTTAAAAATGGCAACTTCCTAGGAGCCTCTATTTATGCATATAATGTGTTTTTGGCAATGTAACATCAGTGGGATAATTTATCACGAGATAAATAAAACGCTACTTTTTTCAACAAAAAAGACTAATGAGAAAACAGTAAATCATATAACATTAAGAACTGGTGGCCAGCGTCAACAGGCATGTCTCTTCCACTGCTAATAAAGTTATAGTGCATTCCTAAGGTATTTTGGGTGGATTTATTGTATCCATAGAAGAAGGGCGTTGGAACTGCTTGGTTTATTAGAGAAAAATTACGTAATTCATCTTGAGATCCCCAGTTCTACTGAGACTATCTGGGAATTTTATTATCTTTGTTAGAGACCACCAGTGCATCCAAAAGGACATGCTTCATAGAATCAGTGCTACTGAAAGACTCCCCTGCCAAAACTGACAAGACTTCAAAGGGTGTCAGAATTTAATCTTGGCTCGCGGCCTAAGGAACGTCACACTTCACAGAAGTTCAGATGAGTGTCACCTTCACATCGGTCAGTGTGTGTGCATATCTGCGGGTAAGAGGAGTCGGCTTCTTTCTGCCAGCACTGACATTTAAAACCAAAACACTTGTTAACTTAATGAATTACTTTAGTGTCCAACAGCTCATTTGAAATAGTATTCCAACAGTCAATTCTTTTAAGCACCTCTCTCCATCTCATATTGAGCAAACACAACTAGAAAATATTGTTAATCTGTTATCACAGATCAAGCAGTATAATTTTAATCACCCTGAAAATATCTTAGAAGCTCCTAAATCCATTGCTTTAGGGAAGTCTGTGTTATGTCATATATCAGATCCACCCTCTAGCAGTTTATCATAAGAAGCACCAGGGTCCCTATTGAAATGCCACCTATCTCTTTTTCTGCTGGGGGAGATATAGTTGGTAGCACTGTTGCCTCACACTTCCAGGGTTGTGAGTTTAAATTCCACCTTGGCTTTGTGTGTGTGGAGTTTGCTCTCTCCCCGTGTTATACATGTTTTCTCTGGCTCCTCTGGGCTCCTCCTATCAATCCCTTCATCTTCACTTATCCACTACAGGGTTGGGAGAAGCCTGTCCTAGGAAGCATAGGGCACAAGGCAGGGGACCACGCCGATTGGAATGTCACTCCATAGACGGGCACATACACACACTCCCACCTTACAGTATGTATAATTTAGGCATCAGCCAAATGTGTCTTTAGACTGCAGGGGGAAACCTGCAGAAAACATCAAAAAGTCTGGATTCAGACCCTTAGATGTATGGAGCTGGCCAATGAGCCAACTGTCATGTACCAACTTCATTGATTCCAGGGTATAATCTTCAGATTAGTATTAACTCCAAAGAAATATTCATCATAAACGGAGATCCAAATAAGGCATGCATTCTTACTGAGAAAGAAGACAGCCCCGAAGCACAGAACGTTAACAGCAGTGTAACAGAACTTGTGAACAAAGCAGATCCAGTGAGGTCAGCTTTGCCATGTTTACGGTTCTCCACCTTGCAGGGAAGAGGAGGCCTGACAGGCCCTGCTGGAGAGACTGCTGCTGCAAAGCAACATCTGGCAACTTCACTGCCAGCGGAGTGACACAGACGGTGGCTGGCTGCCCTCAGTCCTGTCACAGACATCACTGCTTTGCACAAGACAGTGAACTACATCAAAAACAGGAACACTTTGTGCTATGTAAGCCTTGCAAGCGCCAGGGGCAAGTGCTAGGGCAGGATAGACGGGCAAGCCATCAAACCACAACAGGGCAGGACAGAATCTAAAGTTTCTGCTGTGAGGCACCTCTGCTGATCTGACTTTACGGTTTCAAATTTATACAGCATTATCTTTTTTGCTTTGTATGTTTTTGCCAACTACCAATCCACCATCCACTTATCAAGTACAGGGTGACAGGTGTTTCTGCTAAATGACATTAACGGTGAATTAAACATGCAAAAAATAAAAGGGAATGAACATTGTTGAATAAAAATAATTCAACATACCGGTGCTTGTAGTCCATATGTCATAGATGTGGACTCTTTCAGACATGTCCTCCAAAGAACAAGGCCAATCAGTGACGCCACACCACAAATTAAAATTAATTTTAAGGGGATGTTTAGCAGCCCAGTGGAATGTTCTATGTTGACCTCCTCATGGTCAGCACCAGGCTGTCACCTGCTATGACATTGACTCTGCTCTCTCCATTACCATTAGCCATGCATATGAAACATAGCTATATAGTTTCATGCACATTTAAGGCAATAAAACATTTCCAGCTCCCCTTGTCCCCCATCTCCTTTCACAGAGGACAAAGCTGTCATGGAGGAGTCCAGCAGGCTTATTTAAAAAACTGTCTTCATACAGATGGATGGAGCCATAACTGGAGGTTGGGCTCTGAATCAATATATTCGTGTTTCTGTTTAGTAGTACTGATGAAATGGTCAGACCATGCTTTACCTCACAAGTGACAGCGGCCAAAACTACTGTTCCGTCAGCAGGCAGGGATACCTGAGTCATTTATTCTGGGAACAACAGTTACCCCTGAATCACCTGCAACATAAATAACGTTTTTCATTAACATCTTATTTCTTCTTCCCAAGAGCCTGAGACTCATCTCTGTTGACTTTTTAAGGAATCTGTGGACTTTGGCAATAGATTGTTTTATTTATTTTGCATTTTCAAAATAAATATGACTTTCAAAAGCTACGCCAAGACTCCGATTTCAAACTTCATAACAGTACAAAAACAGACACACGCACGCACATTTGTTCCATGTCTGTAGCTGTTTTCTAAACATTCTAGTGATTCCGCTCCTGTAATGCAGATCATAGGGCCTCCGGGACAGACAGCCGAGCCTGGAAATACTACAAACACAGCTGTCACTCCAGTAGAGCCTCATGCTCCAGGAAGTACTAATAAACGGCAACACATGGGCATCTCGCGCCAGTCCGCGGCCATTGCTAAGATCTCACTCTAGATGAGGAGCCTGCGTGTTGCAGCTGGGAAAGATGACGGCTAAAAGCAGCCTCCAGTCCAGAGTTTCAGATTAGTATGGATCCCTGTCCGTGCTGCCAACTAATGGGCGATTCTGGGGGATCTTCTCTGAATGCGGACAAGGGAGAGACCACATGACCTGTCAGTCATGAAGACTGCACCATAGCAAAAGACCCACGACTCAAGATATTTAAGTTAGCTGTTTGGATAAAATCACATCATCTGCAATGTGCTAATCAGCGGGGGAGAAAAATTAGTTTCACAACAAAGGATGGGCAGCTTATAGCACATCTGAAGTGAAGCCGGTGTCAAAAATCAGTTTGGTTATTTCTAGATTTTTTTTTTTAATATCTACAGACAGGACTGCTAAATAAAGACACTACAACATACATATTTAGTTATGAGGTAAAGAGTTCACCAGGTCTGAGCACTGGCACGTACTGGGGAATGATACATGGACTGAGGGACTATAGTCCAAATCAGCCAATGACAACACAAGGCGCAGTGAACATCTTGTGTCTCTCAAGAGTCTCATGGCGCTCTCCCATTTGTTTCCAAAATTCGGCGCAAACAGAACGCCGTTAGATCTGTGTCCAATTAGTAAGAAGGAACATGAAATAAAAAGAGTTCAAGAATAAGAATTACACCAAAACCGACACATCAAATGAATCACAGCTCAAAAGCTTGGAGTTTCAGAACAATATAGCTGCAGTAGTCACAACAGGTCATAAAAATCACATTTAAAAGACATATTTGACATATTTAACTGTTATTGACACAGGAGTAAGTCTCTGAGTGGGGTCCAACATGGGGTTTTTGTTCTCAGTCAGAAATCACATCAGATCGAAACCTGAAAGGAACATGCTGAGAATTGTTCCATCCTGAATTGAGAGAAAACGAGAGGTAGGTCAGAGCTGATGTGAAGAATGGGAAGAATGATTGGAGAGGACTACAGGTGCCCGGGGTATGACCTGACCACCTATCAATCAGGGTAAAAACGCCCTGTCCAGCTGCACCAAGACAGGGAGTGTGTAGACTGGCAGCAGCAGTAGTGATCCTATCGCCTCTCAGTTCAGAGAAAAATCTGCTAGAGTATAAAAACATTTCAGAAAGAAGCGTTTTTTCCCCCCTCTCAGCCCCTAGAGCTCTCAGGATAACACCTATTAAGACTCCCTGTTTTGTTTGAAAACAAAGTAAAATAAAGCAGGCCAGAAGTGATTATTATATTTTACTTGCTTAGCAGATTTTCTTACTCGGAGCGACTTCAGAGATCTACCCATTACTTATTTACACAGACATATTTAGTGGGCCAGTTCAGGTTGATCATGCATGAAAGAAGCTCAACTTTGTGTGGCGGCTAAGGGGTGATCACCTGTTTCACCTGTTTATTTACCACAGTAGAAAGGACATTTAATCGAGGGCTTTAGCATGCCAACTAAAGTAAAACAAAAACCTCGGTTACACTTTACCCGATGGGGAATGAATACTAAGTCGTACAAATCACAAACAAATATACTTGCTACTTGAGATAAAAGATGCATCGCGATTCATTAATAATGAACAAACCGTATTTAGCTTGTGTTTTGCAGGACTTGTTCTTTCAGCAGTTTTGTAGTGGTTCCTTCAGTAGTTCGCAAAGATTTACAGAATTAACAGATTTAGTAACAAAAATAGTAATAACTTGGGATAAAAGCTGCATCATGATTCATTAATGATGAACAAACATGAGAACAGTATTTAACTTGTTATTCTTGACTTCAGTAGTTCAGCAGATATTTTAACGAATATAGTAACTGCTTTAGATAAAACATGCGTCATGATTCATTAGTGATTAATTAACATGAGATCAGCATGCAGCTAAGACTTTGTGGTTAAATATATAAGTAACAGCCTAACACTATATTATTTGTGCCCCATCGAGTAAAGTGTAATCAAAATCTCTTTATATATCATGATAAAGAAAACACTTTGCATGAGCTGGACAGCGAAGCCTCAAGTTTTCAGCAAAATCTTTGTGCAATTCTACAAAAAGGGATGTTAACCTAACTAATTTCTGGCATGAGGAGCAGCAGCTGGGGTGAGTCAGCTTCCGCGGACGGCCTGGGCTCATGGAGAGTCAAACCAATGAAAGGGCTCCTACTCTGAGGGCATCAGCGCACCTCTGCACCGCCTAAGCCACCACCCTCACGTCTGCTGCTAACAAAGCATTTGCTGAGCCTGAATCTCTAGTGTCACGGACAACAGCAGGGAAACTGCACAGCGACCTCCGGCCTGGTACACGTTTATGAGGAGTTTAGGGAGTGAGAAGTGCACCTCAGGTTACAGTATAAGAGCAAACAATGGAATATAATAGCGGCAAAGAGGCACAGGAGCCAGGATTATGAACGTCTGTCACTCGGTGTAAAGTTCCCGCTGAAGCTCCTCTCCGCCTCTTTACAGCTGCTCATTGCTGCCACTTAGCTGTACTTATGTCCATGCAAGCCGCAGTATTGCATTAAACCCTGAAATTAATTCTCAGACTCTAAATTTGCTATTGTCTATAAAATCACATATGAACGATCATGCCAGGTATCCATATAAAACCAGAAATAAATCTGAATGGAACTGAAGTGATCTTGTATTACCCCTGATTATAACAACCAGTTAACGTTTCTGTCATTGTTAGAAACTGATTCCCTACCAGTGTTCGGCTATTACGATCCTCCCGAAAAGTGTTTTAGGGTGGTTTTCATTTTAAAATACATTTTTTCCAGAAAACACTGTAAATAGAAAAGCATGTAGTTAAATAAAATTGTAAGGCAGGAAACATATTCTTCCTATGTAGGAGTCCCGCCTCCCATCAACCGATTGTGTTGCCGTAGTGCATGCTGGGATACCAACCCTGCTGCACCCAGGCAGGGGCACTGGGCAAAGCATTACTCACCTTACTTTACCTACCAAGAAAATTATAATTTTTATGGGAGGAATTGCAAAAATATAAAAAATAAAAAAAATAATGAAAACACAATCTCCACAAGTCTATGCGCACAAATCCTGCCAAGATGAAAATTAAAATGAAATAGCACCAATTGCATTTTGATTTTTCACTCATGTATGACTCTATCTATCCATTATCTATACCGCTTAATCCATCTGGGTCGCGGGGAAGCTGGAGTCATGTATGAGTCAGATGTGAAAAATTTAGAAATTATATTTTAAAACCTTTTTGCATTTAATTTTTTCTATTTGACTTTTAATTTCCTACTTTGCTTTTTCATTTTCATGTTCACTACATGCAAATATATTTTAATCGGAGCTGGGCGGTGCGCGGAGCTACGGATCGATCACTGCTGCGCTTTCTCACTGCGTTTGCGGAGTGCGGTCCCCTTGTGTTCCTTGCCCGTGGTCGTACTGTACGTAGCTCCTATTAACATATATTTGCATGTTAAACCTTGACAATGAAAAAGCAAGTATATAAAAAGTAGGAAATTAAAAGTCAAATAGAAAAAATAAACTACAAAAAGTTTTTTCTAATTTAATTTTAAAAATGTTCACATCTGAGTCCTACATGAGTAGAAAATTAAAATGCAAATGATGCTATTTCATCTTAATTTTCATTTTGGCAGAATTTTTGCACATAGACTTTAAAAACTAAATGGCCAAGTGGAGATTGCATTTACATTTTATCATTTTCATTTAATTTTTTTGCAGAAAATACATCTCATACATTTCATGTCCTCTGCAAAAAGGTAATTCGGGGTCCAAGGCAACTGTCTATTCTGCTAGAGCTGGCCCTGTTCACAGGGATATAAAGCGTGTAAGGATGAATGCTCTGAAACCGGGCTTCACGTACAATGACTCAGGCATGCCGCGGCCAATAAGCATGGGTCCATTGACGATGTTGTGCTTTTATGCCAGCATAGGCACACGTTAGCATGCATTTCATTACAATTGCGTAATTAAATAGTCGATTGTATAGTTGATATTTAATTGTCACAAGCACATCTGTGCAGTCACACAAAAATAATCATAGTTGCACAATTTTTATACAAGTCCAGACATAAAATACATTAAACTAAACATTAATACACCGATTAACTTATGCACAGTGATATTGATAGTACGTAAAATGCGTATACTTTTTCATGTACAAAAACAGTGATGTATAAATCACGCTTTATTTACAAAAACTCTCACTTGATCTAGCAAACTGATGGTGACTCATGGTCGGTCATCCCACTACCAAATGTTACACAATACATTAGTGTTTCCCAACCCGGTCCTCAGGGACCCACAGACAGTCCATGTTTTTGCTTCCTCCCAGCCCCTGGTAGAGCAAAAACGTGGACTGTCTGCGGGTCCCTGAAGACCAGGTTGGGAAACACTGCAACACTGCAATACATACATCTGGCCATGCATTACCATGCAAAATAACCAATGCCATTTTCTGTGAACAGTGAAAAACACGATATACAAACTGCAGCAGTTCCCAAGATGAGTTGTGCTTCATGCTGCTCAACCTGTGTAAGGGCCTTCACCTCACAAAGAGCTGCTACTGCTGCCTTTTCCAAATCTAGAACAACTTATGCTTCTTGTGTGTTTAGTACTTTAAACTATTGTACCCAACTTTGCCTTTGAATCCTACTGTGTTAAACAAAAGCTGTTATTAGTGATAAATGGTAGACACCTAAGTTGATGCTGCTGATGCAGTGTTTTGGGACAGACTCTTTGTGAACAGTGTGAGCAGTGATCTGGGCCTTTAGTCAACGTCCGTCACGGACACCTGGAATATGGAAACTGAATGCAGTGAAACTCTTCTGGAATGTAAACAAGGCAGACACACAACAGTACGCGGTCTCTGCGGCACGTAAGTCATACTTCTGTCAGGTGATCAACACTTACTATCACACGTTACTCATCAGTCTTGTTTACGGATTTCACTGCGATGATGGTACAGTCTCCTTTGTTTACGGGGATGAGTGTGTTTGCCGACCTTTACAGGCATGGGGGTGTTTACTGACGTTTTTTGATGTACCATTCCGATGAGCTTGAAGGCAGGCGGAACCAGACAACTCGGCCATCCTTTCCATGTCACTGGAAGCTACTCAGAAAAAGGCGGAAACATTCCCAAGTCAGCAAAGTCTTCAATGTTGTAATTGGCTGTTCCTTGCGTTGGATCCCCAGCCAAAGGCAGCATGTCCTAGAAGCCAGAAGAGAACTGGTTATTGGAACTCAGGAAGGGTGCATAATAGCTGCTTCAAGATGATTGTGACCTGGCAGGCTGGGTTTCCACAGGTGCATAGCCAGCTGATAAACACTGCCTTAATCTGTAAAAAAACAGCTACATATACACTGGGGATTTAAAGCCACAGCTGAGATATGTGTTTACCTGGAAGACCTCTGTCTGCCCTGGCTGGGTGTGGCTGTGCTGATCGCCGCCCTGCTGGTCGTGGTGCTGCCCCTGCCACTGTGACCACACCTCTGAGGGCCGGCCCTGGAACTGGACCCCATCCTGACCACCTTCATCTGCAACATCAGTAATTGGACGTGGCATGTATAAATCCGGAGTGGGGCTCAGTTACAGACTAGGTCGGTGCTTTGTGGTGAAGCCAAAGGATGCACAACATCCTGCTCCATGCCAAAGCATGTCTTTAAAGAACAGCCCCAGTAACGATTTTATTTTGGCGTTTAGAGGAGAACAGGCTTAGGTAGTCATCACGCATGGTTCATCGCAATGAAAATCACTCCAGTAGCTAAGGAAGAATTATGAGAAAAGCAAACTTAATCCATAGATGAAAGAGTCTCACAATGAGGAAAACTAAACCTCGGTAGAGTGCAGCTCCTAGTCGACATTCGCAGTAGCTGACAAGGCTGTGGATAGTAAGGACACAAAGGGCAAAAATCTTGCTGAAATTACTTTTTATAAACAACTTTTGAATTACAGCTACTAGCCAGACACTTAGCAATCTCCTCCAAAGGCTTTTAAGGCTCTGCTTCCTGAAGGTTGATGTGATTACCTCATCAGCACGGTGCTCTTACCGGCCAGAGCTGTCTGTGTCTGTGTGCCTAATCAGGAAACATTCATCGCTGCTCCTCCCATGTGCTCCCCATTCTTTAGGTTGCTAGTGTCCTTCTGACAGAACAGCATCACATTTGGGCAAAGAAGTTGAGTAAGCAGGTACCTGCAGGCACGTTCCAGTCATGTGCACAACTGAGGCAGCACCCAGTGGCAAACACTTGGCCACTCATAGCAACCAAAAGTGCGTTAGTACAACAGTGGCCCAGTCACTGGTTTTAGTGCATCCCAATGTCCCTTAAGAGTCTTACACTGCTTCTCCCATTTCCAGCAAGTTGGGGCCAGTATCTGAGGTATGCACGACTCACCATCACAGAGTATGGAAACAACGTACAGCGGCTTACCTGCTCTGATTTAGCGACCTGCGCTAAGTGTTACTCAAAGAAAAATGCGATAATTGTACGAAAAAAAAGTAAACTTCTGCCATCAGAGACAGAGGAGGTGACCTTGGAGCACTGGATGCACATCCTGGTATGTGTGTGTGTGTGTGTGTGTGTGCGGGTGTGTGTGCGCGCATGCCCGGTTACAAATGGTTGACGATGAGCCATTACTATAACATTGAAGAATGCTTTAACTCGCTGTATTTTATTGATGGTGTGTGTACACTTATGTCTTATGTACAGGGCAGAAGACAAATTTACCTAAGCTTTAATTTGTTATAAATATGCCGTGCAAGCCTGAGCGATGAGATCATGGCATCTGGTATTCATCCACTTGATGGAAGCTGGTAACAGCCCTCCTGATTTAAGAGAGACCTCAGGCCGGTCAGCGCTGTCTCCTCATAAGCCCCCCCCCCCCCCCCCCCATCTGTCACGACTCCCCTGCGTGCGGTCGCACTCCCATTTACACCTTCTTTGTGACATACTACCACGACGCACACACATCTTCTGAATACGAACTGATTAATCAGTAATAAGCTAAATGAAGAACGCAAGATCTAACCTGGAATTTTTGAGAACAATGACCAGATCCTGCCAGAGTAGCCGGAATGATTATATTATATGTAAATACAACCACAATAAAAATTACTAATTAGAATAATAATTTACCACTATAACAAATACTTCTACTATTATTAAGTTGATTAACAACAACATAGTTCTCTGCTCAAGGGTGCAACATTTACTCTCTTGCAACATTTGAATCACTTTGCAGATCCTTAACTGGTACGGCAGCCCCGAAATGGAGACAGCTGAAGCAGATGCCAGGTTTCAGGAAGTTCCTGACAGACCACAGCCACCCATTCCATTGCAGGATCATCCTCATTTTGGTGTGTGCCTCATCCTCACTTTGGGGTGTGATACGTCCTCACCTTGGGATCTGCCTCATCCTTACTTTGGGATGTGTTACATACTCACGTTGGTGTGTGCTACATCCTCACCTTGGAGTCTGCCTCATCCTCACTTTGGGGTATGTTACATACTCACTTTGGTGTGTGCTACATCCTCACCTTGGGGTCTGCCTCATCCTCACTTTGGGATGTGTTACATACTCACTTTGGTGTGTGCTACATCCTCACCTTGGGGTCTGCCTCATCCTCACTTTGGGGTGTGTTACATCCTCACTTTGGGGTGTGCTACATCCTCATCTTGGTCTCATCCTCACTTTGGGGTGTGATACATCCTCACTTTGGGGTGTGCTACATCCTCATCTTGGTCTCATCCTCACTTTGGGGTGTGATACATCCTCTCTTTGGGGTGTGCTACATCCTCATCTTGGTCTCATCCTCACTTTGGGGTGTGATACATCCTCACTTTGGGGTGTGATACATCCTCATTTTGGGGTGTGATACATCCTCACTTTGGGGTGTGTTACATCCTCACTTTGGTGTGTGCTTCATCCTCATCTTGGTCTCATCCTCACTTTGGGGTGTACAGTACAGCCATGGCCATCTATCACAACAATGTAATCAACCTCAGTTTAATATGCCTTTGTTGGAGGATGTTGTGTAGCGCTTACGCCAGCTTCAGTTTAAGTGCAGGGAAGATTCTTGTATGCTGTGTCTAAATGGAGAAAGCTTTTTGGTGAATATGCTCTGATGATGTGTTTTTGAAGCCTGTCTGGCCGCCGTGCTTCACTGGGAGTCTATGAGAGCATCATACATAGTTTTTGCTTAGGAAATGATCATTGGACAGATAGACTTGGAGTCCCAACTGGAAGCCAAGCTTCTCTGAACGAGGAAGGATACGCGACCAATAACATTATTGCTGACGAGTCTCTCACGCTGTTGGTGATGTTGGCTCGCAGCATTCATTCATTCTGCTGCATGTGCGCGCAGGGAAGCAATTCCGCTGGAACCCAGAGTGACAGTTTATCGTTTTGTTTATCATCTTTCGCCACTGACTTTTGTAAATATTGTAAAGTTGTTATCATCGGGTTTTCAGTTCATTTTCAGGTTCAGTGATTTTCAGCAGACCAGTTTGGCAGTTAGCTTGCTAACTGAGCTGTGTGTGTTCAAGCTGAGCTAGAAGCAGCATGGCAGACCGTGTGGGTCAGGCTGCAGACTTCATTCTAAAGAGGCCTTGGATGAAGGAGAGCAGATTTTACATATAAGTAGCTGACCTTCTAAAATAAGGAAAAAAAGACTTTTTTGGTTATACTGCCAACTGCCCAGACTGTGCTTCCCCCCTTTTTAAAAATCTCCATCCGTCACCGCTGGGCAATTCATCGTAGGCTCAGCAAAGCTGCACTTATGCCTAGTCAATCCTCGACAGCCGTATGTCTGTAATGTGAGACTTGCCTCGTTTGTATGTCGCTATGGACAAAAGCATCTGCTAAATAAAATAACCGTGAATGTAAAATGGGCAGCTTGGTATATGTTGCTCTAATTACAGCGGGTTCTAGATTTCCCAGCTCTTTTCAAACTTGTTTTCACAGACTGTCTGATGGTCCCTGGTTCTAATTAGGATGCACTAAAATAGAATGTTTGGCAAGACTGACATGCTAAATCATTTCCTTATATATCAGGCAAAATATATATAGAAATATATATAAATATGCCCAATTTAATTTATATGACAATTCATATACTGTTTGTGTACATAACTGAATACCTAAAAAAAATTAATTAAACATGTTTTAGTTGAAAAAAAACAATTTCCCCAACAGCTAGAAAAGATCATCATGACTTAAAGAATCTATTATGGGTGTTCTGTACTTTCCTAACCTAAGCAGAATTTTACTAATCCCTCAGGAAATTAAACAAATCATTTAAAAAAGGGGGCCATAATTAATTTTCCAAGAGAAGAGGAGGGAGGTTCCACTATTTCTAAGCAAGAAGGGTACAGATATGGTTTCATCACACACAGACACACACACACACACACACACACACACACACACACATACGTTTGCATCCACATCTTTGTTGGGACCATCCGTTCATTTCTATGTGCAAAACCCTAATACCAGCAATGACAACCCTACCCATCCCTAACCTTAACCATAAGTAACTAAACAAAATACAAGACTTTTGGCATTTTTAGTCTTTTGAATGCAGTCACAAAATTTTATAAAATTGAGTTTTCCCTTTTGGGGACTTCAAAAATGCCCTTACAAAGTTAAAATAACAGGTTTTTATCATATTGTTGGGACAATTGGTCCCTGTAATGTAATATACACATGACCCACACACAAAGACACACACAGACAAACACAAAGATATGTAACCAAAACTAAATGGACTATAGTAAAGATACACAAAACTCCAAAGCCATTTCACAAGAGCATCAGAAGCATCAGAACCTGCTATTTAGGTAATCTATAAATCACAGCAAATCACATTAACCCAGTGCTTCCCAAACTGGTGTCGCACCAATGGGATAGCCTCAGGGGCATGTGTCACCCTAAAATAATCTCTTCACAGACTGGACGATTAAACAAATAAAGCAACGGAACATTACAGTAACTAACAATAAATGAACCACTAACTTACGTGTACTATTAGAGCATTTATGTCATTTATTTAAATTTTTAAAGCAGTTCTCACTGCTTTACGTGATATTCGGGAGAAATAGCAGAACTTCCTGGGATACAAACGTCATACAAACGTCAGCCAATAAGGGCAAAGTTGTGTCGTCACGGAGGCTCCAGTTTGTTCAGCCGGCTGAGAGGTGCTGTACCATCTGTCTTACGTCGTCTTGCTCTTGCAAGGTTTCTGTACCATGTGACATGGTGACGCGTGACGACGTTTTGCAGCGCCGGTCAAAAAAATCTAACTATATCATGAAAAACGAGGTTTAAAATTTTCTACATGAAGTGCAGGGAGACTATCAATTAATGGGTATGATTTAGTGTTGTTTTGTGCTATAGTATAGGCTGAAACCTGCGGTTATCATTAAAAACAAAATTCGGTAAACGTAAGACACTTTAATTTGTGTACGCCAATGAATATTAACAGGAATGTTAAATCTGCATTTGCATGATTTCAAACTTATGCTGCACTTTCATTTTTAATTGATTACTCTTTTCTCCCACAGTGGTGAAATTGCACCATTTGTATTTTGTAATTGCATTTGTTTCGCTCAATTAGAAAAGGGAGTTGTATTTCAAATAAAGTTTGAATCTGAACCTGTTGTAGTTTGAATGGGGGGGCTCAATAATGTTCCTATCTAGAAAAGGGGGGCCCTGCAGAGAAAGTTTGGAACCACTGCATTAACCCATGAATGCCTTTAAACTACTGAAAACCAGTACCACACAAATAACTCTTTTAGTAAATGAAACAAATGAAATATGTAAATCCAGCTTAAGAAGTACTCCTATATAATTACACCACACACGCAGATCTCTAGCGCCCAGCTAAATGGCTTGTAGTGTGATTGGCCAGTGAGCCAAGCATCTTACCAAATGGAGCACCGCGACTGGCCAAGCTGCTGTAGCCATTCCCACTGGGGGACGATGTGGCCGGACTGGAAAGAGGGCTGTATGGAGATGGGTCTGCCGTGTAGCTGTGACTGGAGCCAATTTCGAAAGGGGAGGACTGGGCCTTCCCAGACTGGGGGGGGAATAAGACGGTATTCCAGTCAAAGCCAGGAATTACAAGGGACCACTCTAACAGGACACCACAAAAGCAGCACTCGGAGTGGAAATACAGCTGAATGAGTCCTTTGAACAGCAGGGCATTTCACCATAGAGACTCCAGAGCCATCTCACCTGTGAGGAGAAGGGGGGGCGGCTGTCTGTCCAAGTCACCGGGGCTGGGTTAATTTCCTGTGACATCTGCTCCAGATTCTGACCAGTGGGGGTTGATGCCTGGATGTCAGACACCCCAGGAACATGTATAACAGAGGAGCTGAAACACAATGGCGTCATGTAAGCCAACAGGGCAGCCTGGCTCTCGGGATCATGACTACTGCTGACATCACTGCTATCACACAGATCACGCTAAGTTACATAGGATATCTTTTTACCCAAAGGTTTTCCCAGCATGCCCTGCTTCAAAGGCACTGCCCTGTGGGAAGAGCTGCTGGCTCCCCAAGGTGGACGACGGCCCCATTATCTTTTTGTCGGCTGCAGAGAGGAGTACAGTGTCAGAGCACATAGCCAACGGCTGTGCCAAACAATGCAATATCAATATTACGACAACTGTTCTACTGGAATTTAAGTAATCCAGCAGTGGATGGTTTTTCAGAATGAAAACAGAGCTGCTACTCTTTAGCAACAAGTTTTGTAAATAACACAAATAAGTCCTAGCAGGCAGCCACTGTTATTTACAAATGACAGTTAGCCACTCTTAATGGCTCTACGGCCTCTGATGTGTTTTCTATTAAGGGGAAATTCAAGGAGTCCTACAGCCTGGCATCCCAGCGTACACATCTACAAAGCGAGCATCTGGTTCCTGGGAGAACATGCCATCCTGCTTCTCCAGGGTTTTGCCCGCCTCGTGGACCCCTGCAGCCGCTCCAGGGACGGGGACCTGTGGGTTTTAAGAGAGTGAGGCTGTGAGGCCATGAGCAGGCCGTGGGGGGCGGGGTGGGGCGGGAGTCGGGTGTTTCTGCTCGGGGGTTAGTACCTGGGTGAGGTCATAGGCAGGAGTGCCGGTCTTCTGCTGTTCCTCCAGCTCGACCTGCTGCTGCTGGAGCTGCCTGTGAACATGGAGCCCTGGGTCACCGATCCACACCAGGGCAGGCCTGAGCCACCATCACCTTCACTTTGAAATTAGAATTCCTCTTTTCACACGTTCAGATACCCTCAGATAAATGGCCTACAGAGGTGGGTAATTCAGGTCCAGAGAGTAGAAGTCCAGACCAAAATTTTGTTTCAATCAACCAGTTGAGTATAAAGAGTCACAGTCACAGAGTACTTAACTGGTTGGTTGAAACAAAGGGTGTTTCTGAATACCAAGAATGCAAGGATCATACTTGTGTTCTTGGCAAGACCGGCCTAACTAACTTGCTGCCTAAGAATGAACTTGCAATGAATCATGGGATTGCTCTAATTTGGTGAGTATCCTTGATATTTGGGGCAGGGCAAGAATGACATTTGAGGATTTTTACTGTCCTCTGTACTTCTGTTCTTGAGTACTGAAAATGGTCTTCAGCAACGGAAGAGGATTTAAAACAGGTAACCAAGAGCACAAGTACAGTCAAGCACGCATACTGAGAAACACCCAAAATCTTGGTCTGGCCTTCTACTCTCTCGACTTGATGGCTTACAATGTAAAACTTCAGAAAAATATATATTTACTAAAGCAATCATTCTGACTGCAATGTTTGTCATAAACTTTCACAAACAAATTTCCAAACAATCCCCCTCTGCTTAGGGAAACTCCAGAAATCTGGTTAACATATTTACACGTGTACCCATATCAACCACAAAAAAACATGACTATGGTTTACAGAGAAAGCTCTGGAATGCGTGGCTTATGTTAGAGAAAAAAATTGACTACTGCTTCCTGTGTGCACAGTGGTGTCATGGTTATGACCTTTGACCTTTCATGGTTCCATAACACAATCCAGAGCTGTACAAGGATAGGTAACTCCCAAGGCCTATTTCATGTTAAAGCCATTCGAGTTAACCAACCACAGATGTTGGTTACATAAATCTATTAGGAAACATCTAATCCTTTCAACAGTAACACTCATTTCAAAAGTCTAATATGGAAAGAGTTCTGAAGTCTTCAGATACACGAAAAGCTGAAAGCCCCGCTAGTTTGACATTTATCTTCTGTTGTATGTTGTAATTCCCTCAACAATGTTAGCTGCAGGTCAAAAATATTCTATCATTCCACACAAAGAAGAATCACCGCTTTTACCAGTTTAATATGTTATGTGAAAACCAGATTCAGGACCAAAACAAACACCAATCCCACAAGTCTAGAGGAACACACAAGCAAGCACGGAGACCTGAATCCCAAAGAGTTACAGGTCCTAACATGTCAGATGGATCTTTCACACGTTTGTATGCATTTCATATGCTACACTGGTGCTCTTTGAGGAGCAGAAATCACACCCCAGGGCAGCAGGGTGGTGGAGGTCACATGACCCACGAAGCCTTGCTCACACATTCATAGAGCACAGAAATGTTTGTACAGCTAATTCAATCTCCTCTCCAGACTTCACTGCACATTAGCATGTATCAGATTAATGGGGACCATTGTGCTGAGGAGGAGGCCGGCATCTGCTTAGCGCATGGAGGAAAGGGTCACGTAAGGATGGAAGCTAAGAGACGCTAGCTATTTACTTTGGGCGAGCAGGCCTCATCCTGGAGGATTTGTTTAGCTAAATTGATGTTTGTTTCACCCCAGGTTCCCAGTTCCAGGCTCTGCACGTTTTCCAACGGAACCTTCCCCGAAGCTGTCCTGGCCTCTGGATCGGGAATATCAACAATCCCACGCATGCCGCCTGCTGTTACGCGCCCACATCACGTGAAACGATTTGCCTACAGCAAACAAGCTGTTTATTCCTGAGTTCTACCGTTAGGGTCAGGGGTCTTCATGGTGGAAAGCTAGTACACAAGCCCACTATGATGATAATAATAATTCAAGAATTTCTTTTCCATTTCAGCGCCTTATTAATAACATAAATCAAATGGAGGCCAACATCAATCTATGCTTTAAGGCTGTTTAAAAAAGAAACATTATTAGGCTGTTTAAATAGTTCCTGGCAAAGCAGTACTACGTTCATCTGCTGAGGACTGGAGAAAACATGTTCTGAAGAAATGTGAGAATATTTCCAGCGTCTCGGCAGTGAGACAGCTCTGCAGGTTCATTCATTTGCCAAGGCAGGAACATACGGAAACTGGTCACAGAACCAGCACAAGGTCTGTCCCGGGTTAAATGCTGTATGTATTTGTTGGAATGGGGGTTCTTACTTGATGTTGGTGTTGGTGCAGATGATGTACTCAATCTCATCTGAATAGGGGTTCTGGAACGTGAAGCTGCTGGTTCTGATAAGCATCCAGTCTCTGGTCTTCAGACGGAACCGGTACATGACGGAGAGGACCTGACCTTTTAGCTTCACCACCTGGGAGGAGTGAGAGAGCTGGAGCACCAAATTCTGAGGAAGTGTGGTGATAAAAGGGCTTTGGTGGCTTCAGAAACAACGTCCAAGCACCCATCCATCCATTACAGACTAAAAAGCCTGGAGCCTAGCAAAGGCCAGGATTTAATGGGATTAATGGCAGTCCACCTTGGAATTCATGCCCAATCACACGGCACAGGCAATTTAGAGATGCCGGCTCAAATAATATAATTTTTTTTGACTAACTACAGATGGGATTTGAACCCCCAGCCCACTGGTGCTACCCAGTGAGCCACCCTGCCACCTATACCTATTAAAAAAGAAAACAAATAAAATAAAAAAACATACATTAAAAATAAAGTCTGTCACTGAATAATAATATGATGTTTCTGTGTTATGCATCTTTTCTATACTTGCCCTCATTAACTTCATTAATTAATAGGCCATTGACCACTTGAGCCCCAGAACTAAGAGTGTGAACCTGTCACCTGTGGAGTACAGCCAGTTGCCTTGGCTTCAGTCCTCTGAAGGTAGGAGAAAACATTCCTGTCATACTCTCACTCTGTAAGGTCAAGATTCCTCAGCAGACCTACCGGATACCACTGCCGTGTTGATTTTCAAGACAAAACAAGCATTGGGTTATATCCCAGTCCGCAGCAAGCGGAAAGAGCTTCTCATGCCAAGGAAGACGTCAAACTGAGGAACGTCTTCCTTACTCCACACGACTGACTGTGTAACCAAGCAGTCACCCAAAGAAAGAGTACGCTGAAGAATAATGTCTTCAAAGGCTTTTTTTTTTTTACTACAAATGTCCTTACAGACAAAAGACGCACTTTGTTTTGTGAGAGCTGGTAGCACAAAGCCAGTTTATGTTGGCATGACCCATGGACTATGCCCATCTGCTGGTTCTGGTCTATCAGGCCAATGGCTCCTTAAGCGGGGTGCAGACTTCAGTTAGGATGGAAGGCACAGAATGATTACCAGCCGCTCTCCTCTCCATGTGATATATGTCGTCAACAGTAGATGCTACGGCTTTATTACTACAGTGTAAACTGGCTTCCTGTCATTTCCTAAGGGGGTCCTGGAGAAGGAGCATTCGGGAGAAGAAGCCCACCTGTTGGAAACTCTCTCTGAGGTGGCCCTGGTCCTCGGGGTGGCAGAATTCAAGGATTCCTTTGCCCAGTAGGTCCTGTGTTAGACGGGAGTGCATAGTGATCAGTGAGGAGCAGCACCACAGAGTAAGAAAGGCCTGAAGACTGAGACACCCCATCATCCCTGACGGGGGGCAGCGGCTTGCCTGCGGCTGGTATCCAACAACGCTGATGCAGCGAGGGTCCACGAAAGTGGTGACACCGTCCAAGTTGTGCCGTGAGAGAAACTCGGTGGGGACCAGGAGGCCATTGGTGTCCACAGTGACCGGCGAGCTGGTTACCTGAGAAGATAGTGTCACATGGTGTATTATAGAGGAAAGTACAACTTAGCACTACTGAACAGAGCTTACAATGACAGAAGAATAAATCCACTAGCGAACAACAACAACAATTAAAGGCTATACAAACAGTTGGCTTTAGGGACATGTGAAAGGTGAGGTCGTTGTTTTAGGTTATGATCCAGTGGAAGGGATTCTGTTCCGTGTTGAGCTGAAAGAAAGCTGCCGCTCAGAGCTGAAGTCAGCAAACCAACGTGGGAGCGAATGCAGAGCCCAACATGGCCACGGACAAAGCAAGGATGACAGAGCTGGACCTTCAGAACATCTCCATTCAGAGACAGACATCAAATGCGTGTGGGACAGCCACACCCTCAAAGGCACCCCGGCACCAGGACACACCGCGAGCCGCACGTCCGCCAACACACCTGCAGTCTGCCGATCGCCACCAGGCAGTATTTGCTGGTCTGTCCCGGTTCAGCATCTTCCTCAGGCATCGTCACACCTCAGAAAGAGGGAACAAGGGTCACCTGCTAGTGAAGGCCGAGTGACAGGGGGACCCCGATGCCCCCGCACCCTATTCCAAGCCACGGGAGCCACCCCACATAATAACCTGCCTGAGCAGACTATAGACCCCCACCAGACTGCTCTTATTATGGCTACAGTTTTTATGACGTTGCACTAAAGATTACACCGTCCCTTTAAGGAATTTCAAAGACAGTCTCTCACAAGCTTGATCCACTTGAAAGAGACGCCCCCCCTTCACAAATGCTCACATATCTCCGCTGCCCTTGATGAGCCCCTGATAGTACAGCTACCCAGGAGTGAGCTCTGGTCAGTGCACTCATCACTGCTTACTTCAAATGAGCAATTCATTAATAGGCATATCTGTAAATCATAGCTAACATTATCCATTACCTCCTGACTGGTTTAGGCCTGGTCAATCTATGCGAGTGCGTGGGCCATGTATATATTACATTGTGGGGATCAATGTCCCCACAATGTGATAAAAAAAAACCCTGTTATTTTGACCTTGTGAGGACCTTTTTTCGGTCCCCACAAGGGGAAACTCAACCGCAATCAAAAAAAAGTGTCAAAAGTCTTTTATTGTGATTGGTTACTCATGGTTAAGGTTAGGGCTGGATAGGGGTTAAGATTGCAGATCTCCACGGAGATATGAATACAGACGTGTGTGTGTGTGTTTGCATATTTCTGACCATTATCATTTCAGTACCTCCTCTCCATAACAGTTCATCAGCTGACTTCAAATATTCAAACGTTGGCATTGAGACTGAACCGAATGAAAGTTCCTTTAGAAGTAAAATAACAATGTTGCAGCTCTGAGGTTCCAGAACTTCTCAGGTCTTCAAGAGTCGCTTCCCTCGGGTTCTAGCAGGCCTTGACTGACAGGGCACACTAATCCCAGCCAGCGAGCCTTCAGAAGCACGCCAGAGGTGTCTCTTTAGGACACGCTGGGAGTGGATCCAGCCACACGGAGATCAAAATGCCAGAGCGATTCCCAAACCTATTCCCCTGTCCTAACTGCGGCATCGCAGAACTCATTTGTTGTTTATCGTGTCTACGTGTTGTTTCTTGACGAGTCCTGCTCAATTTCACCGAGAATACAACAACAAGCAAAATACAACAAAAATGCACATACAGCGGGACGGGCTGTAAGGAGGGGGCAGTGAGAATAGGGCATTCCTCTCTCTGTGGGCAGACCAAAGGCAGATTCCTTTTCTTATGATCAGCCCAACAAAATACAATTTACAGTAAGCAGATCCTTGTTTTAGCCTGAAATCTAAATATTTGAATGGGATACTGCAGGTCATTATCATTCATTGTTGTCTTTAATTAAAACATCCAGACACGCTGTCAGTTTTAGACATACAGGGTCTTCTAGGGTGAGTTTTGAGGTAAAACGTGGTGTCAGGCTGAACGGGTGAGAAGCCATGGAGAAGCATCCGCCCCTGTAAGCAAACCACTGCTCCCCCTTATGTTTTGTTTTTCCTGCACCAAGAGGAACTCCTCCGTCGTCGGAGACCACTGTCCCGTTTCATACCCTCATTCTCATCCCAGCTAACTGTCTTCAGCAGGCTCCAAGCGACCCACGGCAGAGCCATCTCGGTGGGCACCACAGACAGGCGAGGGGGGGGCTAGTGAAGAACGCCGGAGAGCACAGATGGCTCGTGTTAGATGTGGCCATTTTTTTTTTCAGAGCGGGAGGTACCTGCGGGCGGCCAGGTTTTCACATATCCTGTGCAGTGCACAACCAAGTACTCCGGTTCCCCGTCCTTGGAGGATCCAAGGCCATTCCTGTGAGGGTGACAAAAGCGAGAGCACTTTCTGACGCCCCCTCGGGGAAAATATATTTGTTATTTTCACGGATTGAAGACATTCCAGGTCTGAAAACCCAGTTTATTCTTGTTTGTTGAGGCCAGGGGACCAATCAAAAGGAGCCCTGGGAGTGATGTGTGGCTGTATATCTGCTGGGTTTGTAGCTGTGGTGGAAAATGGGGCTCTGGGGGAGGGGGGGGGGGGTGGGGGGCGTGCCGGCTCCTACCTGTACCTCTTCCTCACGTTGGACAGTCGGTGTTCCAAAGAGGCCGTGCCGCACCTGGGGAGAGGGGGGAGGCCAGACTTAAGAACCAAAACCGCAAACAAGCGAATAGATCGTAGATTGTGCACAGTGAAGGGGAGGATCTCTCACAGGAAGCAACCCCAGAGCAATCCTGAGGCCCGAAAATCAATGTTCAGGAGCCAGCGGAAGATCAACTAATATTCCCCACACCACCTTTTCTTCATTGCAAATGCAGCTGTTAGATAATATTTACATACCTAAACACAAGGTTGCCAACTTTGGTCAGCTGGCTGAAGTGAGATTTTCAACTCGAGACAAGTCTGTCCATGCATTTATCTGGATGTAACAGATTAGGATGTAACAGTCTGTAGGGTTTGCAAAATACCCCATCGCTTTTGACGTAGCTAATTTAGGTTTATAATGGAATAATACAGATTTGCTCTAAGATTTCTTTCGTGAGAGTCTGAAAGCGTGACTGTCACACCAGATGCGTGAGAATCAGCAGCCCTGCTAAACGCGAGCATCTTAGCCAAACCTGCTTAATGCTGATAAATGCCTTAAAAACAGCCACAGTGTCACTGCCGCCCCCCCCCCTCCCTTCCCCAGAAGATGTTTCTCTCCGCATCCTGCTGGGCTGTTGAATGAGCTAAGAGCCGTATTTCCACCAGATGTGACCTACACCTTTCCACCGTGGACGTGTCCAGGGGTCACGGCACCAGCATCAAGTCCACGAGAGCCTCGAGGCGAGAACCTGAGACGAACACATGTCCCTGGCCACACGGAGAGCCACACTGCACTCTTCTGCCAGGGTCTCGAATCGGCTGGGGACATCAGAGCACCAGCGTTTCTCCGTGGGGGAGCTTAATCTGAAGGGCTTCTCACTGGGGTAAGGCTTATTTCTCCATAATTTTTGTCTGACAAACAGCAAAAATTCATTTGATACATGAAACACTTTAAACTCCAAGCAAAATACAGGATTCTCTACCCTCTTAGACACCTGCTGTGCATCACTCTCAACACGGGAGGTTACCAACCACAAACGGGACAGTCTGAACAATCCGGTGCCAAAATACGGCTGAAACATCAGCGTCAGCAGAACAGGCAGGGTGGGGGGGTGGGGGGGGGCTGTTATACACAAAACAGCAACAACCGCAAACTGAAATAACAAACCAAACTCCTCACACATGGGGCCCACAGCCCGACCGTACACACACACACACACACACACACACACACCTCATTCTGCAGATAAATGAGCGTCTGGAGCCCATACACATCCTCATGGATGACTGCTGTCCCTCCTTCTTCACCGTGCCTGTCTTCAGGTCTAGAATGCGACCTGGAACGAGAGAAAACACACACACACACACACACACACACACACACGTGTCAATATCACTGTCCCTCCACTGATGCTCACTGATCCTTCCAAATAAAATTGCAAAATAAAAAATTAGTAACACGTTCAAACATTGCAGCACTTTGACCTTTATTTTAGTTAAACAGAAGAAATTCACAGAGCAGGTATTGAGGTATTCTAGTTTTATAATACTTCAAATAACTTATAAAAAAACATTTGTGCCAAAGCAAATACAGTGGTACCTCAGAACTCGAACTTAATCCGTTCAGAACTCCAGATCGAATCCTAAAAAGTTCGAGCTCTGATCGAATTTTCCCCATAAGAAATAATGGAAAAACAATTAATTGGGGGGCCGGGAATCAATTAATTGGTTTTCCATTATTTCTTATGGGAAAAATTCGTTCAGAACTTTAACTTTTTAGTATTCAATCCGGAGTCCGGAACGGATAATGTTCGAGAACCGAGGTACCACTGTATATGTATTCAGCTAGTGTAAACATGCACGATGCTATCACAGCGAATGTGAGGCTGAGACTGAAGCATTGCCCTTTGTTTCCGCTAAGAGACTTGCTGCGTGACTCATTTCCCCGTGCGTACAAGTTATCTTAGGTCGGCGTTCACGGGTTCGACTTCTGAGATTCAGATTGAGTTCTAGGTAATTTTTTTTTCAAACTGGTTGGTTCGACTTTTAAGAAATTCAAGTTCTAATGAGTTAGAGAATTGAGGTACCACTGTATTAAAGGTTTTTTACAATCGCTACCAAACATTTCTCCATACTGAATCACTTTTTCAGAACTCTTTACACACTTTGCATCAATAATATGCAGCTTGATCCAACAGTCAATCCTTCCTCCAAAATGCACTAAGACCACTAAAAGACAATAGATGTTTGTTGTTAAAATTTATACAAGTCACAAAATAAACACAAACTCTGTCACATGGAACACAGTGACTCAAGAATCACTAACAACAGGAAACAATAAAAGATGGATCATTTTGTCTGAGAAATCTGATTTTTTATTTAATTAATGTTCAGTTAGAGACTAACATCCTTTTTACTTCACAGAATGTACTATAGTACATGATGAATGAATAAAACACGTCAAACAGCTTCATCTTTATTTTATATTTTTGCATCCATCCATTTTCTGTGCACACTTGCAGGGTTGTGGGGGTAAAACCCAGAGAATTACCCAGGGTGAGGCACCAACCCATCGCAGCGTTTTTGAATATACAGTCATTTAAAAATAAAAGAAAGAAAAATGAAAGAAAGCAGAAATGAAAAACAAAAAAGAATAAAACAACTGGGTTGTGACACATCACTCCTGTGATCATCATCAGAATTATCTGATATTTGGCCACAGAAGACCTTCCGTTCCATTTCATTCACCTTCACTGACATCTTGCATGTTTGCTACCGTGACACACATCCTTTTAACTGGGTAGTCAGCATTCTGACGTTTTGGCTCATCTCTCTGTGTACATTTATATATTTATTTCTTCTTTTGCCCATTCTCCACATGATCTAAGAACCATGTTGTATGGGCCAATGGCTGGTTCATCCATCACTAGATAATAAAATTATGATGTCGGTTCCTGTCTGGCCCGACACATTTACTCTTTTCAATTAAGCTCCTTCCTGTCCTTCTATCACACATTCGTTCACTCTCCTTCCTCAAGAAATGTCTCTTATGTGATCCATGTTTAGAAAGAAAATCATTCCAAAGATGTTTTTTTATGGTAATGGGATTGAAAACCTGGGTGGAAATTCAGCTGAAACGCCAATCAGATGTTTGCTCTATTTTCATCTTTCATTGTATTATACAGATTTTGTTTAAATTTTCAATACTTTCCAAGATCATAGCTATAGAAATGTAGCAAATTGCATTAATTCAGTTTATATTGTATTTTAACAGTTTTGAAAACAGCATGTAAGCATGTGCAAAATGGGCTCTAAGTAAGTAGAGTTTTACTGGGGATGGAGTCTGCATTTTGTGTCATAGCCATGAAAAATGAGCCACAGGGGTTAATCCACACAGAGCGCTGTTGTTAACTGCGTGAGGTTTTCAGTATGAAGAAATGCTTGTTTGCAATTGTGCAAATCTGTAATACTTGAAATTAATTTAAATTTGTATTTGGAAATTCAAAGCAATTTTTAGGTATGTTATTATTCTTGTGGGGATGCCTTCTCAAAACATATGCAACACACACACACACACACACACGTTTGTATTCATATATTTGTGGGGACCATCCATTCATTTCTAGGGGAAAAACCCTAATCGCAACAGTGACAACCATAACCAACCAAACATAATACAAGACATTTTTAGTTTTTGATTGCAGTCACAGATTTCTATAAAATTGAGTTTCCCCTTGTGGGGACCGAAAAAATGGTCCCCACACTATCAAAATAACAGGTTTTTATCACATTGTGGGGACATTTGATCCCCACAATGCAATATATACATAACATATATACACACACACACAATCACACACACACACACACGGATCTTTAAGTTGCTCATAGTGTATGACTGTGTATGTGTGCTATGATGGACTGGCATCCCAACCAGGACGTACCTTTATGCTATTCTGGGACAGGCTCCAGGTCTCCCCGACCCTAATCAGTTTTACCAGTTAGAAAGTAAATGGATGTTCTTGTAATGATATTAGATACAGCACATGTCAAATACCTTCATCTGGCCTAATGGAAATGGATCTATTAAAAGTCAAGATTGCGGGAAACCCACGGCTCAAAGCACAATGGTGAGACGCGGATCACATTTGCAAAAAAATATCTGTTCTTTTCTCTCCCCTAACAGAATCAGGCCAAGAATGCTGTTTTCCTCTTAAAAGTGCAAAAGGTGACGGCAATCGAAACAAACACAAAGTCACACAGATTTTCCATCGCAAGGACATGAAAAACAAAGTGTATGAGTTCACAGACCTGTTGACTAATGTGAACAAAAAACAGGGGTGAAAAGCAAAATCTTTACTGGCAGTAATAGAGAAACGGGCCAAAAAAGACAGATGTTTGTTTAAATTCGTCAGAGAGGCTAAGTTTACAAAACAGCTTCGTTGACGGAGCTTTACCCTAACCGGCTAATAACCAAAAAGCTGGGCTACAGTACAGTGCTGCTCAAAGTGAGCTCAGTTGCTACAGCTGCGATTCTCCACTGATTTATGGGACCTGCCCTCAGCCAGTGGCCTGTGGGAACTTTGGCTTAACAGCTTCTGTGCAACACCAGCAGTGGCAGGCATGATACGCCAGAGGTGAGAGGACAGATGTGGCAAACAGATGTCATTTCCCATAATCCTCAGCATGGGCCACTCTGGGCCAGCCACAGGTCTGTGGGACAGCTCTGCATTTCATTGATCTGTTTCCACAGAAAGCTGCACAAAAGTCAAAAGATAAGGCAGGCCGCAGAACAAAAAAATTATATACTAGCCAGACTCTAGGACTATTATGAAAGGTACAGAAGAATTTGGAAGATGTGGAAAGTTTATATTATTAGGACATTAAGTCGTTTAAAATGAATGCACTATATTTTAATGATGAACACGCTTTCTATATTGTTTTTTAATGCTGGGTGAGTAATATTTCCTCTGGAATAAAAGTCCCTAAAATAGTCCCTTAATGTAGACATGAACTGCAGACCTCATTGTTCTATCCTGGCAGTTCTCAAAACCACCCACCAGGGGGTGCTAGTCTGAGTCTCAGGCCAGCCTGAGTCCTGCGGAGTCACGGCGGGTGGACGGGTAATGAGACCATAACTTGGGCCTCTGCACGGACTGCAGACACCGCCAGCAGAGGCCGGCCTCCACATCAGCCACAGAAACCTTCTGAAGGGTTATTTGGGAGAAAACAAGAGGAAATGAGCTGCATCTGGGGGATGTGGGGAGCCGGGGCCATCCAAGCAGCCGAAGGAGGGCCAAGGAAAACTCGCACAGGGTGACTTACGCGGTAAAGCACTGCTCTGCTTTCCTTGGCAGAGAGTACATCTGCCCTGGACTTCACACACGGACATCATGAGGCCTGGCGGACCGACGGCGAGGCAGTACAGGAGCGCGGCGTTTACAGCGGCCGCTGTAAAAGGCACCGGGTTCGGGACCACAGCAGGCGGTGTCAGGAACAGATCAACACGTCCCGGTAAGCAGCACGAGCCAAAGCGCCACCTCCGCTAGCGGGACCTTACGCGGCACTGCGTGGAATTGAGTGAAACCACCGTCTCTGGAACAGGAGTGTTTGTGGGAACCGCGCCATGAAAAGGAACTTCAAAGACAAACAGGTGTGCTGATCACTGGGCGCCATTCACCTGCAGCACTGACTACTGTAGCAAACTGCACCTCACGTTCATACCCCCCCACCCCCCCGCCAATGCTGCTGGTCCTTTGCACTCTTATTGCACCAACACTAAAGTACAGAGCACAATTTCCATATATCATATATATACCATATGTTTATATGTGTGTGTACAAACTGTGCATGTATGTATGTGTATGAATGTATGTCTGCATGTATGTGTGTATGTCTGTATGTGTGTGTATGTATCCATGTATGTATGTCTGTATGTGTGTGTATGTATCCATGTATGTATGTCTGTATGTGTGTGTATGTATCCATGTATGTATGTGTATGAATGCTCTACACATTATTTATGTCATTGCAGAGGCTGCTAGTAAATTCTGTTGCACCATATGTATACACCATATGTTTATGTGTGTGCATGTATGTATGTGTCTGAATGTATGTATGTGTGTATGTATAAGTATGTGTATGTATGTGTGTATAAGTGTGTGTGTATGTATGTATGATCTACACATTATTTATGTCATTGCAGAGGCTGCTAGTAAATTCTGTTGCNGTATGTGTATGTATGTGTGTATAAGTGTGTGTGTATGTATGTATGATCTACACATTATTTATGTCATTGCAGAGGCTGCTAGTAAATTCTGTTGCCCCAGTAAACCACTTGCACAATGACAAATTTAAAATCTTTCCATCCTTTTACAAAGATAACTATAAACTTTATTGGATAACTGGTTGCATTAAGTCCTAAAGCACGCATCGTCATCTCAGTGACTGGGCCAATGAGAAGGACACCTCATCCCTTCAGGCTTTCTGGAGGCCTTGGCCACAGCTCACAGCTGCCTCTAGTGACAGCCATCATAGGTCAATAGCTCCCTCTAGTGACAGCAAAGGCAAACTTGTCTCCCTTTTACTCAGATGGCCTATTTCCCTTCAAGACAAGCATCCATCCACCCATCCTCCGATGACTTTGTCCTCTCAGGGTTGTGGGCCGCTCCCTACCTGTCATGGAGCTCTCCGAGGTGCTCAGCTGCTCCCTCAGCTTGCCCACGTCGTCCGGGTGGACCTGCTCGTACAGCGAGCTTCCCAGCCACTCGGACTGCGGCTGGTTCAGCACCGGCGTCACAGAGTCCGACACGTAGATCACGCGGCCCGTCTCAGTCGCAACCACAAACAGGAATCCATCCGCTGCCTCCAAGATTAAGTGTTTCAGCTCCTGGGGGGCAGACAGGCCACACAGGCCCGCGTCAGTGACACTCCACGTCACATGAAGTGCGGATAGCATTTTAGGTTTGCTGCTTGGGTCTGGTCACAAGCCATCATCTCTCTTTTGGATCCTACATAATCACATTTCCCCACAGCGCCCCCTGATGGCTAAAGGCTGACATGGTAATTGTTTGCATCTACGGCCAATACTTAAGACACTCATTCAAGGAGCATCCAGAGGTGCATTACATTTAAAGTGAATTTGCCTGGGTTTCCTTCCCCAGCCCAAAAGCATGTGCTTAGGTGAACTGGCATGTTTAATTTGTCAGCAGTCTGTAGTTACATTTTATGGACAAAAGTATTGGGACACCTGTAGGAGGAATTGGTCCAGCATCTAATGGAAAGCCTTCCCAGAGGAGTACAGGCTATTACAGCAGCTAAGGGTCAGTCAGCTTCATATTAACGCCCTTTGATTGAGAGTGAGATGGTGTGCAGGCTGATGTTGTACAGGCTGTCCATGTAGTGTACTTGCGTGAGTGTGGGTTAGACGATGGTTTGACATCCTATCCATGATGTCCCCCACCGTCCCCATGGGATGGCCTTCAGGTTCACCCTGACCAGACACAGGATACATATAACTCTGTGTATCTCTAAACCGCTTTGTACAAACATGTTCCTATGGCAACACATTTTTAAAGTGAACTCCATATCTCTGCCCAGAGGATTCAGGAATGCAACCGAGATTCAGAACCTGCTAGACCACATCCCGGGAAACTCGGCCTCAGTTCAAACATTGTTCTTGACTGTTATCAATCACAATATGCTGCATTTATTACTAGAATCAGTGACCATCGCTTACAGTGACAACTGAGCATCAGTCACCAGAAATTTGCATTTTAATATACAACTGATGAAGGCTGTTTTGTAAAAAACATCAATGGCCAAATAATGCAATCCCTACTGATTAGCTTTGCTTTGCGAAGACTTCTCATCTGAATGTGTCTGATTGATCGTGTCCGGAATCTACTTTTTCTCTTAGTTTGTGCCGGTTTCCTCTTGCAGGGCAGAAACATAGTTATGTATAACGGTGTGTCCAAGTTGCCCTTCCGGTGTGTGTGTTTGTCCTGTGACCATTCAGGGCACCCCCACCTTGTGCCTTATCCCCTCTAGGATAGAATTCAGGCTTTCGGTGACCCTGTACAGAATAAGTGATCATGGAAGGTCCATGGTTAAGAGTGGTACTGTACTGTATGGACAAAAGTATTGGGACACTTCTTAATCATTGAATTCATGTGTTTCATTCAGATCCATTGCCATAGGTGTATAAAATCAAGCACCAAGCAGTGAGTTTTATTTGTGAAAGAACAGGTTATTCTGAAGAGCTCAGTGAATTCAGGTGTGGTGCTGTCATGGGATGCCACCTTTGCAATAAGTCAGTTTGTGAAATTTCTCCCCCGCTAGATATTCCACGGTCAACTGTAACTGGTATTATTGCAAAGTAAAAGCATTTAGGAACAAACAAAAAGTATGAAATAGAATTGAAGTGGCAGACTACGTAACGTATCTGAGCGAGGTCATCAAATGCTGAGGTGTATAGCGCGTTAATGTCACCAGTGCTCTGACTCAATGACTGCAGAGATTCAGACTTCCTCTGGCATTAACCCCCCAGCATAGGAGCTTTATAGAATGGGCTTCCATGGCTGAGCAGCTGCATGCAAGCCTCACATCACCAAGCACACTGCCACTGGACTCTGGAGCAGTGGAAACGTGTTCTGTGGAGTGAGGAATCACATTTTTCTGTCTGGCAGTCTGATGGATGAGTCTGGGTTTGGCAGATGCCAGGAGAACGTTACCTGCCTGACTGCATTGTGCCAACTGTAAAGTGTGGTGGAGGGATAATGGGATGGGGCTGTTTTTCAGGGGTTGGGCTGGGACCCTTAGTTTCAGTAAAGGGAACTGTTAATGCTTCAGCATGCCAAGACATTTTGGACAATTTTATGCTTCCAGCTTTGTGGTAATAGTTTGTGGAAGGCCATTTTCTGTTCCAGCAGGACAGCTGTGCCCCAGTGCATAAAGCAAGGTCTATAAAAACATGACTGGGTGAGTTTAATGTGGAAGAACTTGACTGGCCCACACAGAGCCCTGACCTCAACCCCGTCAAACACCTTTGGGATGAACTACAATGGAGATTATGAGCCAGGCCTTCACATCCAACATCAGTGTCTGACCTCACAAATGCTCTTCTGGATGAATGGGCAAAAATTCCCACAGACACACTCCACAATCTTGTGGAAAGCCTCCCCAGAAGAGTGGCAGCTGTTACAGCTGCAAAGGCGGGACCAACCATTTGGTCGATGGATTTAGAATGGGACGTCATAAAAGGTGCAACGGCCAGGTGTCCCAATTCTTTTGTCCACATAGTGTATAATCACAGTGAACTTTGGATACAGAATGACCCTTCAGCTTTAATTCCGCCGGAGGGGGCCGTTCACCTGCTCGGTGAGGAAGGACGGCTTGTAGGCCCCGTTGATGGAGGTGTTGCCCGCCCCACGCATGGTCTTCATGTGCGAGACGGCCATGCGCAGGATGGTCAGCTTGTCGGGCTTGCGGGCCAGAGCGCTGCAGGTGGGCACCATGTCCGACAGCTCCGTGATGTACTGGCTCATCTTGTTGCGGCGACGCCGCTCGATCTCGCTGTGGTTCTCTCTGCGAGGCGTAAGAGGGGAGGGGGAGGGAGGGGCAGTCAGCCCACAGGAAGAGCCTGCACCTTGGCCGCCCCCACAGACCAATTAAAACCCAGCCACGCCGCACACCACAGTCTCCGGAGACTGACCATACAATGAAGGCACGCAGTCTCAGTGCGAGTCCACATACGACGTGAAACATCTACGGAAGATTCTAGAAGCCGGCTTAACTAAATCCAATCACTCACAGATTTCTTAGGATTTATAAATTATGTAGTATTTACTGTTTTATTACTTTTTTATACATTAGTATTACTTACTATGTAGCTCTCAGGCCAACTGATCTAATTGCCTGTATGTGCCGCCCTTTGTTTTGTTGTGCGTTTAAATTTAATTGAAGGTGTCATGGTGCAGGTTGGTAATCTTATATAGCAGGACTGGGGAACGTGACCCATGGGGGGGGGCGGTGCGGGTTTTTGGAATGACCTCAGTCAGCCAATAGTAAACCAGTGGCTGTAATCGGCTGATTGAGAGCTCATCCCAAAAACAGCCCCCCACGGATCATGTCCCCCAGCCCTGGGGACGGAGAGCAGGGGTGAAAATTTTATGCCCAGAAAGTACAAATCCAGACCAAGTTTCTGTTGCAACCAACCAGTTGAGTTTAAACAGTCACAGTTACAGAGTAATCAACTGGTTGGTTGGAACCGGGGGGGGTTGCTGTAGTGACACACTGGCCTGTTTGGCCCTTTTGCAATCCTCTACCACCCATGCAGGTTCGCCCTACCTGGAAGACATTTCCTTATCTGTAGGACACTGATCATCACCATACCCGCCAACAAAGGGAACATCTACTATAACCCAGTGACAGAAGAGCAGTGCCCGCCATTTTGAGACAATCTGGGAGCGCCATTTGGGAGATACCAGGCCTTTCATAGGCGTGTGAAATGAGGAGCAGCTGAGCAGGGAGGCGACCATGTGGACAAGCACTATGCGTCAGTGACTCTACACAACAGAGGGTGGGTGACGAATAGAGGAAAAAATGCGGTTTAAAGTGGCTGTATCCGCTTTCAAGCTTAATGCAGCAAGTGCCCAGCGTGCCGTCACAGGTCAACAGGAGTCACACCTGGAACGCAGGCTGAACCCGGAGCGAGGGGAAGCCATCGGGGAAATGGCGCGCCAACAATGACTTCTCGAACTGGAGACTAGAAATTAAATATTAACTCAAGTATTAAACGAGCTTTAATCAATCTGTCGAATACACTGTAAAAATACACTGGTCTCTTTGTTTGGCAAGGAGAAATAGTACAAAGAAAACTTCCTGCAGTGATTCATAGCTTGTTTTCAATTTAATCCTCCATCCACCAGAGGGCCTCATGATCTCTCTATTGCTCAATTTACAAGAAACGGGTAAATGCCAGAAGAAAAAAAAATCACAAGGGGGTACAGAAGCTTTAAAGAGAAACAAAGAACAGGTCTGAATAAATTTCATTTTGAAATTTAAAAAATTGTATTTAACCACCATCATGGAGTGAACAGAATTTGAAAAATTATTACGGCAGTTACTGTAGTCTAAAGTTCTTAGTACGACATAAATGCCTAACAAACCCCAGCATGTTAACTGTAAGCAAACATGTATATGCATATTAGAATGGAAATAAGTGACAAGGCCAAGTTTCCCATTCACCTTGAAAATTTGCTGGGGCCGTCTGCGTCCTCCTCATCCACATCCATTCTAAAAAAAAAAAGATGAAAAATGTAACATAACCAGCAGCAACACTGACTTGGTAATTAAAATATTCCACTGATCACACCTTACTGATGGGTCCATCGATGTCATAGCAGGTTACCGACACCAGGAAACACGTTAATAAAAGTGACCGGGAAACACTCACCCCACTGACCTCCTCTTGCTCCCTCGACCCGGCAACATGCCGGTCATCCTCGCCTGGGCCGGCCCAGCCCCTGCACTCGGCGTGGCCACGGACCCAGAGAGATCTGAGGCCATGTCTGCAACCCAGAGCAGTGAGGGAGCCATTAGCATCCGGGGCGGCTAACCCAGAGCAGGAGCCTTCATCAGCCGCACATGCTCACACAAGGCTATGCTTGGATTAACAGCATTCATGACCATGACATATTTTGCAGGGACATTTAAAATAAAGCAAAAATAAAACATTATGGTTACAGGATTAATGATATTCCTGTGTAGTCTATCAGAAACCAGTGAAAACCCTTTAAACATCTTTAGCGATTTATTAATGGAACAAAGGTCATACAATAACCAATAAAGGCTGTATGAACTGTCCTATTTGAAAAAGCCTTTTATGAACACGGTTCCTTTCCCGGCTCCCAGAGACCTTGCATCATGCAATCCTTGTTTCAGTTTCATCTCGGATATAATAGCAGCAGATACATGACATTTGTTTACAGCAGTCTTTGCCAGCAGATGAATGACTCTTTTTAATGTATCTCCTTATAGCAGTGACAAACTGGCGTGGCATAAAATTTCGTTCTCGTTGCAGGTGGTGGATGATCCCAGACTAGGGGCGTAGTTAGAGGTGAACGGACAGGGAAGCTGAGTCTTTACGGGGGGCTGATGGCAAACTATTCATGACTTAAGCCAATAAATGCACAGTCCCCCTAAAACAGGCCTGTCGACGCCCCTGTCCCAGACCCTCCAAGCTTTGAACCAAGCCTATGTCCTGCGGGGGACCCCAGGTGAGCCTTAACTTGGGAGTTTCACAGGTCCGTTCGATTTGGCGAGACTGAAAACCCCTCGTCGATAGTAACGCGTTTAAAGTCACCTTAACGACGTTAATGAACGACTGCGGAGGCAGCATGTGACTGACGGCCAGAGCTCACAGGGTATTAAAAAGCGCGCAGTCCGACTAATCCGGTCTGAAGTTTCTACACGCATGATTAACACCAAGATCACATATAAAAACAAATCCGGATAAAAACACACCAAGACAGGGCTGTGCATTAAATATTACGCAAATACAAATCATTGCATTCTGAAACAATTCCAAGACATGAATTCTTTAGATTACGACATAATATGATACATTTTTAAGAATGCAAAAAAAGCCAACATATTTTGTAACTATCTAAACCCCAGAACCATCTCGAAGCTGACAAACTTAAAAAGTAAGGTTCACCGCCAACATACGCCTACGTAAAACACAAAGGATCTTTGCCCAACATAATGCTCAGCTGAACTGGCAACGCGAGGCATCTTGTCCGGCGTGTCTCACTGAGTGTTACATACGGTCTGACGGCACAGAGGCTTGTAAATTGCCCGGTACACGATGTAATGAAATATGTACTATTACAAGCAACAGGCTGGGAAAGTAGCCAGGAGCCCGTCATCTGTTTATAAATATTAACTCGCTACAACAGAAAGACAAAAACACAACCTCTTCTCTTCGTTAACTCAAACGCAAATGGATATTTTACGGAAATAAGAAAGCTGATCGATCATATAGATGTTATGTGGATGAACGTAAAAAGATGATTTACGTTAATATAATACCAGCACATAAATAATCATGCAAACAACTGATCATATTAACCGCTTGATTCCAGCCTCCTGGTGACTGTTTACAATAAATGTAAGAAATACTTCATGCAAACGCGGTTTTTTTAGGCAGGAAATGTAGCTCCGTTGTGCTTTTAGGTAGTAAACTGCAGGGGGGAAGGGGATGCTCTAACTGACGTCGTAAGAAGCGCTTCGTCGTCCTTTCTTTTGTCCATCGAAATGTGATCGAGACTATAGCATAACATTACAGCGGACTCGGTAAAACTACGGCTTCTGATCTGCCTCCTTACAGCAACAAACACAAAGCGCGCTTACCTGACGGGTTGACAGCCGCAGATGTCGCCATGGTGTTCCGACTGAAAATGATAAAGTAAATGTGGTTGTGACGCACGTTACAGACGGATGGACTAGCCGGGAGGTGCGGGTGTCTGAACGCAGGATCGGGGAAGCCGCTCAGCGCCGCATGGGCGCCGCGTCCCGGCCGGACTGCACACGCCGCCACACCAGCACCAACAATAGAAACATAGATGTTATTTTAGACGGAAAATGGTAGGATATCCAGACGGCAAAACACCGCGAGACTTAATCGGAATGGGAATAGACAGTGCAGCCTAGATTTCTTGGGGTTTTCTGCAACTTATCAATGGCAGACCTATAGACAGTATTAATAGGCTTACGCAATATGAAAAAAATCTTGTAAAATACTGTTATAGTAACAAATCCCATTTTTCATGTCACATAAAATAATACAAGAGGTGTGTTTGTATTGTGTGATATGCAACGGCATTCGAATAATCTACATGTAAATACACCGACTTGAAAAACAATGTTACAGATTATAGTCTGAATCGCTGCGGAAATGTAGCTTTAATTGGGGCTATTACATTGCACCGGAGTAATCTTTTGTTACTGGTTTAACCGATTCTGGCCGAGAGGTTCTCTTAAATTAACGGGAAAACATTTGATTATTCACACCGTTAGTGCTTGAGACATAAAACTGAGTCCGCATTTGAGCAAGAAACTTTTCTTACATTTAAATAGGGAAGATTTTTTTAAATAAAGCAATCGTCGTAATATTAAAACGAGGGTTTATGTCGTGACATTTAAAAATCCTTTATCTATTAACGCTTGTTAAATTTTTAGCTGAAAACAGCTCCTACAATTATTTAATGGTTCAGAAAAGGAAAAAGATAACCGCTACATCTGCACGAAACGATTTACATTTCTAATTAAAGCTGCAGTATGAAATAATAATAATAATAATCTGTCTTAATCCTGTATGTATGGATGGCTGTATTTATGTATCTATTCATTTGTTTTTAACTTTATTGTGTATTACCTTTTAGTAATGTACTTAACGTTTTATTCTCTCTTTGATTTTTATTGTTGTGTGTTCCTTTTGTAAGCTACAGGATACCTGAATTTCCCCGAGGGGATGAATAAAATATCTATTATTATCGTTGTTGTTATTATATGTCAGTGTGACATGGTCTGAGTAACTTAAAGTACAGTCTGATAATATTAGATTGCTCAAACGTATGTGTTTGCCTCATGAACAAAGTTCCTTTTTGTTAAACTCTGTAAAATACAAAGGCCTTGTTCAGAATCTGCGACGGCTCTGGATCCTTAGCAGCAAAATGTCACAATGAACGGAAAGAACCGGTCATTCTGTGACAGAGCTGTCCTTTTGGACGGTCTGTCCAGGCTGCTCAGTGTGACCCTGCCTTTTGCAGAGATACTCGCACACACTGTTCTCTCTCACACGCCACGATTCAGTAAAAATGGTCACAGGACCACCAGACAAGTCCAAAGATGAATCAGCTCTGGCACTCCCTTCTTTTTCTGTTCCATATGGGACACATGGAGACACATTAAGTGGAAGTAATGTGGGACACTTGGAATAACTGGGTACAATGGTGTGGTTGGACTGTTTCATTCATCCATCTTCCATAACTGGAGCCAAAAACAGGAAGCATGTGGCACAAGACATGGAACACGTACACGCCTTTCTGAACACGTGAAGGACTCACCATGCATGGACCCCCTGCCCCGAAGGCCTCTGGATTCACCACACTGCCTTGAAATTTACCCATAATCAAAATAATCTACTATATCAAAATCCACTGTTTTCATTCCTACATCTATCACATTTTGTCCTTAAATTTCCCCTGTATGGTTGAGTTCTATCCTGAGTGGTGCTGGTCACTGTTTAGACAAGAATTTTGGGCTCAGCTTATGTGCTATAGCCAGTGACATAAGAGGATTGTTTGAGTCCCAGATCCATCAGGAAGATGCGCATACAGAGACAAACACATAAGCAAAACTGCAACTTGAACAGAAAGAGACTTAGAGTGAGAACTGACAGTAGGACACAAATGAACAAAAAACTCAAACATGCAAACAGAAAAGACATACGGAGAACTGACATCAGGACAGAAACAAAAAACTCAAACAAGCAAAAAGAGACAGAACTGACATTAGGACAGAAACAAAAAACTGAAACAAGAAAAAAGAGATACACGCAGAACTGACATTAGGACATAAACAAACAAACAAACAAAATCAAGACATGGACACTGACAAAGTTACACAGATACACAGACACACACATATATATATATATGAGCAGATGGACCTACATGTGTACAAAGCATCAAACAACTGAATTCAAAAATACAGACTGACATTCTATGCCTTTTTTTCCCACACAAGTGTATACCTTCTGCACAAACACACAGTTGGATTCCAGCAGCCTCAGACACACACACACACACACACACACACACACACACACACACACACACATATATACTGTACACCCTCCGCAGCAGTGGTGTCCAGGAACTGCACAGTGTGCAGGCTGAGCTGAGTGGAGCAGCCCTGGAAGCTCAATCCAGAGACACACACATGTGGAGCTGCAGGCAGCTTCTGCTGGCTCCCTGCCCCACGGACACGACTACAGGGGGGGCCAGAGACCACCTCAGGTTTACCCGGCGATGGAAGGACTGCCAGGTACAGTATCTTCATATCCGTCTTCCTCCTGATGTGTTTTGCATTCTTTCCAGACTTTTCCAGATTTGGTTTAGAAGTTGAACGACAGGTGCTCTTACTCTGCAACCTCACCCCCTCCCATCCATGGTATGATGAAAGTGCTCAGCCTGGCCCACGCTGCACCGTAGGAGCACATCAGCCAGGATCTGTCATGGGATCCGTGCAGAAGGACTCCAGCGAGGGCCATACGGCTGCAAAGGCTGATCTCTGTGGCCACAGAAGCTCTCCATATGGTGAGGGACTCCTGTGCGCTGGAGTCACATTTTCTTCTGCAAACAACTGCAGTGTCTGTAACTTAGAAAGCTGGCATCTGCAAATTGGGCGGTAAGCGTAGTCTGCATTTACAGAAGCTTTGGTCCATCGCCTCTATCCGGCTGGGTTGTGGGGTCTAATATGATAGGAAGAGCACTTTCCTATACATTTAAATGAAATTATGGTCTAGCTTAAATGAAAATGGCCCTTAGCCTTAAAGACATGTTTTGGACCAGGGCATTATCAGATTGATGCAGGTATTTTGTAATCTGTTATCTTATCCTCCGGAGACGAATAAAAAGCGACCATTCAGACTAGAGGCTGAAGCTCTTGGTCATAGATAAAATCTGCAGTGATGCAGGAAATTGCAGTCCAGTTAATGCAGTTACACTTCCCAGTACTGCTGTTAGTATTAAACATCAAAATAGAGGTGTGCACTGGACACCAGTACCTTGTAACCCTGTCCTGAATAAGCAGTTGGAAGATGTATGAATGGACAGATGGACAGACAGACTACACTACTGTCTGCTTTAATTGCATCACAATGGTTTGACAACTGAACAATTAAGGAGAACTATAATTATAATTGCTGTAAGGAGTCTGCACCCAACCCTGAATCTCAACTTCACTGTAATTCCAGGGTGGTGATGCTGCCCCCTAGTTTTCAGTAGCTGCCTTCGAGTTGTGAGGCACTTGTTTGTTTCGGACACATCCCTGCTCGCTGTCATCAATCCCCGCTTAAGGGATCCTGGCCATGTTTCCTTGGCCAAGACCAATGCTCCACAGTAGTTTATCCAGCCAAAATGAACGAGGCTGTAATTTAATTACACAGAGCACAGGGAGTTATGGACTGCAGAGTAACCCTTTGGAAAATGTAGCAAACAGATTTATATAGTCATCTATAATACATACACAAAAATTGTTCAAAAAGTGGGTTTTTGGCAAGGAAATATTAAGAAAGACAACGGCACCTTATGAAAGGCAGGATGTTACTGATATGTAACATGAATGCAGGAAGGCATCTGCATGCTCATTCCGACACAAGCGGAACATCAGCAGACAAAGCAGCTTATAATAAAGGGCGAGCTGCTTGTGTCTGGGTTTTGGGGGGCAGAGCTTAGCGTCTGGGAGCTGGGCTGCGATATTGCACTTGCATTCCCCTCCGGTAGGATTGATTTTCAGGTGTAAAGCGGATTGGATAAAAGATTAATTTTATATTTGCCATTTGCTCAGGTAGGAGTACAGCTACCCTGGAATTGTCTTCGCCTACCCCATCTTGCACTTGGGGGCCACAGGCAGGTTCAGCCAGTGTGCGGTGCCCCTGGAGCTGGGGGTTAAGGGCTTTGCTCAAGGGCCCACGGACATGTGACTGTTCTGCCGAGGCCAGGGCTCGAACTGGGAATCTTCCGATCACAGGCACAGAGACTTAGCGCCCCCATACTGTGCTGGGTATGTACTGCTGGTGGGCATGAGCTGGGATGAGATGGCTTATAATCATTAGTGTCTCCCCTGGGCTGTTTTTGGTACATCCAAGGGAAGAGCCTCTTGTCTGGGCACAAATGCCTCTTGGCATCAGTGCAAAGGGCCTAGCCTAAAATGAGCTGTCTGTAGA